ACTACACAATTTATAAACAATAGGCTATCTAATAGAAAACTAACTTAATACAAAATGAAATAATATCTACAGTGGTTTATATAATAATATGCAGACACTAAGATAAAATAAAGTCTTACGATACTTGTGGTGTAACGGAAAAAAAAAAATAACTAAAAGGAACTATTTATACGTACATTCTCATATTGGCACACATAAAGACAAAGATATAAAATATGAACATATATACCCGAAAAAAAAGCACAACCTGAGGAGAAGAGAAAAATAATTAAATAGTAAAAATAATAGTCAAACTAGGTGACAAAGATCATTGCTGTTTTATGTTAAAACTTAAACAGTAGGCACCGCTATTTACTTCACGCAAATTCAGTTCATAAAATGAAATTTATGGTGGTAAATCTTCTGTTTGGGATGTAAGGAGATATTGGAAAAGGAGGTATTTGAAAGTTGACAGGGAAGAGGCATGACGGATGTTATGTGGCAAAGAATTCCAATAGGAGACGGAGCGGGCTAAGAAGGAACGTTCATAGGTTTTTGTCCTTTGTGATGGAATATAGAGGTCAGAAACACGGGATCTCGTTTTTATTGAGTGGACTAAGGGTTTAGGCTGGAGGAGACAACAGATATAGGAAGGGTGCTGGGAGTTGATCGTTTGGTACAAGAAATTTCCAAGGAAGTATAGGCGGCGGGTAGATGGGAAGAGCCACTTTGACTCGGCATATAGGTGGGACACATGAGACCATCTCGAAGTGCCGAAGACGAATCTTAAAAAACATCTAAAGTAACATTACCTTCCTAGTTACAAAGAAAAATAAATAAAAAGTTATTCCAATTATTGGACTAAACTTTTTTTTTTAATCATTAGTAATATGCTAACAAAAATAGCATTTCTACAGTAAAACATTAAAAATTTAAAAAACAAACAAAGGACGTAACATTTGGAGTAAAACGTATAAAAAAAAAAAACTGGAGGCCATGTCTTTGCTCAGAATTGTCCGGTTTTTAGGAAATTCCGTAAACTTTTAAAAAACCGTATACAATATCAACAAAAAAGTGTGTACTTTTTGAGTTATTCAGAATTAAATTTTACCATCCCTCGGAACTTTTTTTCCAGATTCTTTTTGTTGAAGTATGTTATATAGATAAATTTAAAGGGCGTCGAGAAAATTACTGTAGCGAAGTTTCATTAAAATCTGTACATTCGTTTAGGAGCTACAGTCCATAGCAACGCAGATTTTTCGGCCGCCATTTTGAAAGTAAAAGCCGGATAGTAATGTCAATGTAGGAGGATCATCCTCGGATTACCTCTGATTTTTTATCCAAATTTGAAAAAAATCGATCCAGTAGTTTCCGAGAAAATACGCGGACGGCGGATGGACAAAAAAAAAATGTATTCGTTTTTCGAATTCTACGCATCCTGAAATGGGAAACCTCAAATTTTAAGGGGGGGGGTTATGTTTTTGAATTATTTGGTCGATCACAATGGTTGATTGAAAATAGTAAACCAATATCGATAACAGTATAACATATAAAAATAAAATATTCAGACTATTCAATTTTTATTGAAACAAGCACATCTGTTGCATGGATGGGGCCTTGGCCAATTTTGGCTGCATGATTCGGAAAGAAAAATATACAGAATTTGTCGACGCTAAACTTTACAAATGCAAATGTAAATTTTAGAGTTTAAAATAAAATATTTAAGATTTTATCGGACTAATATTTGACAGGATAATGACCTGGGTCCCAGACGTCAAAATGAAAAGAAAGACTTTGAATAAGCGACTGAAAATACTATACTCACTTTTTTCTAAATCAAAATTGAAAATTAGACAAAATACTTACACTTGCCTGCTCAAACCCATTTGGACATACCCATCACAGATTTACGGTTCAGCTAAATAGACTCACTTACAAAAACTACAATATTTTCAATCTAAAGTTTTAAGAATAATAATTACAGTCCCCTGGATAGTCAACAACAAGACTTTACATACCGACCTAAGACAACCAACCATTGACCACCACATACGTACTCTCTACTCCCGATTTCATCTTGAGCAACATGTCTACGCCTGAAATGCTCATCAGGAGGCGACTGAAAAAAGCTGGATGAGAGATCTCTTTTTCCTTATTTTAGGATGTAAACAGAGCAGGGAAGAGGTGCTGCTAGGTTCCATTCTTCGTCATGCCTATCATGCCATTTTCTACCTAACAACAAGTCTGCTGATTGTCACTACCATGACAGGTGCGGATGAAGAATTGAAGACCAAAAAAAAAATTTTACCGTATCCTGTAATTATTTATTTATTAATTTGGTCCTTTACATATTGGTTTCTTTGAACAAGTAATTAATGTTCATTTAATACATTTATGCAGACTCAGATTTGTTATTTTTACAATAGTTTTTATTTTTGTCCTCTCTTTCATACCTTTAATCATAGCCAGATCTTCGGGGAGGAGATGAGGGGGGGGGGCTTTCGGGCTGAAGCCTCCCTCTCTCACCCCCTCCCCAAATAGTAAAGTATAACTATGTTTTATAGAAAAAAATATTAAAAACTATTTCTTAAAGTATTATTGTTCGTGTAATTACATTTAATAGAACTTCAAGAATCACTTAAACGCCATTTCATATAGGTAGTTAATTTCTTAATTATTGTTTTCAAATTAATTATCGTTATATATAATTGGAAAAAAAAGCTTTCGGGCGGAAGCCCCCAAAGTTAAATCCTGGATCCGCTAGCGCCTTTTTGGCAATTATTGCCAGGGTTAAAATTTCCACGGCACCGGGACTCTATTATTTTTTCCAATTATCTTCTAATCAAATTGGCGAGCAATGCGGTGCTGTTTACGCGCATAAGCGCACTCGGCCACCCCGCCCCCATTTCCAATAGTTATCAATACTAGGATCAAGATTAGGTTATAAAAAGCAATAACTCCCGAATTAGCAAACATACAGACAGAGCCACATCAAGAGTGGAAAGATGGCAACCTGCATACTGGTTTTTTTCTTCATGATTGTTAAGAGATTCATACTCAAAATTGTCAAGAGAAAATAATTATTTTTAATCTTGATTCCAGTTGCTCATATTGGGAAAATTATAGACTGGCTAGAAATTTGAAATTTATCAAGCATTAATGGCATGGCACAATTATATATCTAGTCCTGTCATAAATATTGTTACAAGGAAATATATACAGATTTCAACAGGGAAAATATTTTTTTCAAAAACTTTATTAGAAAATAAAATGAATATCTATAGAGAGTAAAAATAAAAAAAAGAAATTACTCAAAATGTCTCCCTTTTACCTTGACTTGGGCATTTAATCTCATGACCAGTCATTAATAGCAGCACGCAACACTTCTAGAGGAAAGTGCTCAACTGCTGTGATCAGAGATTGTTTGAGGCTTTCCAAGTTAGGGTGCACAAGTTAGGCCTTGTGAGCTGGAGAGGAATCCTGCTGAAAAACCCAATGGCGTTCAGCAAACAGACTATCATTTAGAGGCTTCACAACAGGTTCCGAAATATCGTCCTGATAGTTTATAGTGGCTGTTTTAACTAAGTATTGAAAATCTCTGACCTACATTTTCCAACTTTGTGTAAGGTGATCACAGCTATTCGGTTTTCTTTATCACTCCACTCCATGTTAACTGAGCGAAAGAAAAATACAAACTAACAGGGATTATTATCCTGACATATAAAGAAAATAATCTGATAAAGGTGAGGATATCTAAATAATACCCAAGGATGTAAACAAATTTGAACTTATGTAACAGTATTTATGGCAGAACTAGGTATAGTAATAACTCCCAAAATAAGAAATGGGATACAGTTTGATTTAGAAGGATATAGAGATGGTCTATAACTCACACAATGGCCTTGGAAAAAAGTCAAAGAGAGGGATGAATGTACTCCCCAAAGGCCTAAGACTTCTATCATTTTGCGCCCCTCCCTCTAACAATTTGACTTAAGAAAAATTATAATCAGCAAGCTACATGAATGAATAAAATGTGTAACCTAAAATTGATTATGAAAAGTCCACTAGCACAGTATGTATGTAATTATTTTATTAAAGGATACCTTTAATTATGTTCAAAGACAATATATATATCAAAATACCCCAGGATTTTATTATTCATTCACTCCTCAATTTTCACATGATATTCTTATCACACTTACAGCGACAAACTAGTGGGACTGTGAAAAAGTTGTATTTTTATTTGAGGTTGTACACACTAAGGAATCCAATGATATTTTTCTATTTTTACATTCTTTATTTTTGAAGTTTTGCTCAAAAAGTTCCAGAATGTCATGAAGTCTGTCTCCCCTATCTCCTGTGTTTATTCTTACAAATACGTAATATATTTATGTGTATTTTTTTTTTTAGATATTTTTTATAGTACATCACAAACATTACTTTACATAAACACTTTCAGATGCCAAGAGTTAATGACCATTAAGGACACGCTACAAAATATTTTATGATAATTTACACAGAAATCCTAACACTCTCATACAAGATATGGTGACAATTAACATATCTGATAATAGACTTAGGAGTTTCAAAGAAGTTGGATGAGGGATCTTCTCGCTTAAAAATCATACTAAAATCAAGATAGAAAGGGATGCAGCACTTCTGCAATGGGTTGGACACTTCTCTCTCTCATGCCTAGTATTCTTCCCGACAACAGACTCACTGATTGTCACTACTTCTGACGGATACGGGTGAAAAAATTAAGTTAAAAAAACTTATATTGATCTTTTTTTTATAACAGAAATCCATGGCTCTTATCTATCAAATACTGATGAAGGTAATTCTGTTTCTTAGATTTGTGTTGTAGAATGAAAATTCTTGAGTGTTGATTGATATAGCTTATAAAACACAATTAAATTTTTTTTAGTTAATTCCTTATCATTTAAAAAGAGCATTACTAAATTGATAAGTAGATAAATGAATAAGAAATAAATAGAACAAATAAAAAGAACTACAAAAAGGAATACTTTCAGTAAAGCAACAAAAAAATACTTTATTATGATAATTAATAAAAAATTTGTTTTAAAGCGTTCATGGGTTATAAATAATTAGAAAACATAATTTAGATATATTTTAATGGTTAGTCTTCTTCAGGTTCGAGATTAATGTGATTTCCAAATTTAGCATACAGCAGGGTTTTTAGATCTGACATTGCTTCTGAAATTCCTACACTCCTTTTCTCTATATCTTTGATTTCCAACAAGATTTTTTCTTTCATTGCAGCTATAGATTTCTGAAACAAAACAAACAAATCAAAAATGATAAAATAGGATTAAACATAATATAACAAAAATAAACAATATTTAATAATGTCCAATCAAACAATATATTAGATAGATAGATAAAAAATAAACTTTATTGTGGGACATGGGCCCATAAGAATAACAATTATGAACAAAAAACGACAAAAATATATCTGGCCAAAAACTACATTAATAAAAATTAAACAATATATACAATATCTTCAGTGACAATATATAAACAACAGAACGTAAAAACATTTTGAAAAAAACAAAAACAATTGAAATGAAAAGAAAAACAGAATACAGGAAAAATAAAAAAAAACTAACGTTATAAATATCATGAGTAGATTATTAAAATTAAATTAAACAATTAAAATTAAATTTAACAATTAAAACAACCATTCACATTAAACGAAATTCTATTCATGAAATTTATTTCATGATTTTACATCATCATTTTGGAATGTAAGAAGGAACTGGTAAAGGAGATATTTAAATGAGGACAAGGAAGGGGCAAGACAGATATCAGATGGCAAGGAATTCTAGAAGGCAGTGGATCAAGCAATAAAGGAATGTTCAAATGTTTTAGTTCTATGGGAAGGGATATAAAGGTCAGAAACATGAGATCTTGTTATCTGGGAGTGGACTATGAGTTTGAACTTTAGGAGACTATAGATGTAGGAAGGATGGCAGGAGTTGATCGTTTGGAATAGGTAATATCCAAGGAAATATTGTCGGCGGAAAGAAGGGAAGAGCCACTTTAACTAGTCGTAAATGTGGAAAACATAAAGCCTAGAAGTACTGAAGACAAATCTTAAGGAGTTCATGAGTCACTTCAATCTGTCCTCAAGTACCATCGGGATGCCTATTATGTCATAAAGTTGAAAAATAGCTCATCATAAATTAGAAACAATCTCTATTTTATTGAAAGAATGGACTCATTAAATTACTGGTAATTCAAATCATTAAAACTTCATTATAACAAGTTATTATACTTTGTGTCCACGTGAGAATGAATTGTGTGAGTATCTATCTGACCCGGTTATAGAACTAAACCTGCAAATATTGAGCTCAACTCTCAAGAGTTGAAAACTCTCAAATAGGCAGATATATTTCATAAACATTCATATTGTTCACCCAAGAACTATTAGAAATTTTTATTGTTAAAATAATAAGTGACTGTGATAAGAAAATTCATGTTATTTAGGACCCAGTCAAGTTGAAAGAAACGGAAAATTTAGTAGGATGTTAATCAGATTGATTCAGCAAACAATAGCTACTTAGCTGCCTATCTGTAAATATATTATTTTATTTATAATGTAATATGTAATTAATGTAATATATCAAATATAATATATCTGTTATTAGTAATAAAACCTGATTACTTTAATTATTTTACAACCATATAAAAGAAAAATTGTCAATGTATATCGTCGGTTTATTACAAAAAGTCATTAAGTGACATTTCATAATCTTAAATCACTAAGAACTTTGATAAATCATAAAAATGTGGGCTTATTGTAACTATATTTGATATATTAAAGTATTTGTGTCATTTCAATGCATTTACTATGTCCTCTTTTATTGATGAACAAGACTGAAATTTATAAAAATGTCCTTAGAAGTTCAGCTCTATCAAAAATATACTTAGTGACTTTTAGCAATAAACCAAAAATACATCTCTAAAAGAAACCATCAATCCATTTATGAATTAAAAAGAAATTGATCAAAATTTTTACCTGAGTATTTTCAAGGTCTTGATAAATAAAAACTTCGCCAACTAAAAAAGGAATTTGTTCTGTCTCATCCACTAACTCCAATTCTTCAACCACATCTTCAAGATTTCTTAGTTCATTCTAAAGATACAGAAGAACAATTAATGAAATGAAAAGATGTATAATCTTTTTAAATTGTGTAAAAGTTAAGAGCTAATTAAAATGTGAAATACATAACATATAGACAAACAATTAAAGGGAGAATCTTTTAGTGAGCATGCACCAATCAACAACACTGTCTTCAAATAAAAATCAACATAAAATTAGTCCTAAGGATCGAAAGAATGAAAAACAAATTAAAATATACAGAAAAAAAATTAAGAATGGTATATTTGACAAGCTAGTTTTCGGAGTTCATTTAAAGAGAGAGGACTTTCTTAACCTGTTAACCAGATATGACAAAATGTCTCCTTCTTTTATAATATGTAATAAAATATTTTGTAGAAATAAATAAAATCAATAAGTTGAAAATTATTTCCTTTTATTACTTGTGGTGTGATGATATTATTTATAATTATAGAGAAAAAAGTCACTGTTGTGAAACAAGTTGAACAAAATTTTATTCTCCGGTTAACAGATTAAGTTGTGTTGCCTATATCTAAGGTCTGGCACACATGACTAGTTAAGTCAAAAAATGGTCCATATTAGTTCTGTAAATTGAAATCATCTTCCCAGCATTCTAAACCCCGTGAAGAAACTGGGGTTTTGGAAATCTAGACGAGAACTGTGAAGTCACTTACTTCTTCATAGTGTTTAGATTGTTGGAAGATGATCTCAATTTACAGAACTCATGAGAATCATTTTTGACTTAACTAGTTATAGTCAGGAGACCATTGATATTATATGTTGAAATATAATACCCCAATTTAACACTAAAATAGTCAACACAGTTAGTAATTGGTTGGTTTGAGAAGATAATTTTGTTGTTCAAAGTTTTTTTTCCCCTTCACATTGTAACCAACAGTTTAATTTTAATTTTTTACTATCAAATATATAATATTTTAACTATTTATAAAATATCTAAAAAATAAGACTCATTGGACAGAGCAACTACTAACGTAAGCGATAGCAATATTTCCTAGAGCTCAGAATTTGCAATGTGACAATTTGAGAGTTAGAATCAATATAGAATTAAATGATAAGTATGAAATACTTGTTTTCAATCAAATGATTCTGACCTACTACATAGAATATCAAAATATAATTCACACCAGTATAGTCTGAAATCTACTAAATATAAACAATAGAAAAGCTCATAAAATGCTAGACAACCTAGAAGAAAAAACTGTGATTGGTGGTAAGGATAACGCATTTAAGGGAAATCACAAGAGAATTCCACAATCAACATATGGTAAACTTAAGTTATTCATTAAAATAATTCATATATATTATTATTTTAAATACAAGTCATCCTTTGTGTTAACATGGTCAGTTTTCATCCCATGGCAAAATAATTGAATATTACTAGGTTGTTCAGTCATCCCATCTGATTTCCTTATTAGCAATTTACACTGCTGACTTTTTTTGCATTGAGATAGTGACCATTGGTACTACTATTCATGTGGAGCTTCACTTTTCATACTTTACATGAAATACTGAGAACCACAGATTATTGATAATGTGTTGAAGAACTTAGCCTCCCAAATGGTCCTTTTCAATTAAAATCAGAGCATTAGAGGATTTGTTTCCCTCCTCTACATTCAGACATAAATGAAAGTTTTCAGAATTCCGTCTACAGTGTAATTATATCTTGTGCCTACTTATCATGGTGGAACAACATTTGAGAAGTTTCCACGAGGCAAGGAGATTCAGCCTTGTTCCATCTTCTCTAATTGTTGCATTCATTCACTATATCCTTCATTTCTGTTACAGAGCAGCCTGTTACTCTCCCGAGCCTGGTGAGGTAATCTGTATACATCTACCTCAGTCGGCCTCATGGGCACTCATATATTTATTACATCGCACATTCCGTTCACATGACCAAACCATTTTAGTTGGCAGTGCTCCACTACCTCTTCACCTGGTGAGATCTTAAGTTTCTGTTGGGAAATTCTATTGCAAATCCAGGTTTTTCCTTAGATCTTTCTCAAGAACCTCCTTCCTCTTGCTGTACCTTTACTCGCATTCTGGTCTAAGACTGTCTAATCTCCACACCATAGAGCAAAACTGGTAGTAATACAATTTTAAAGAGCAGAAACTTTATCTTGCAGCTTATTTTCTTTTTCCATATGACTATGAAGCAGATTTGGCAGTATACCCTATTCAATTTTTTCAGTCTATTAAGTACCTAATAACTTTTTCATCTTTGCTAATTATTGTTCCAAAGTATTCATAGGCATCTACAAATTAATAAGGCATCCCATTACAGGTTACCGCTTTACCATCCCTTTAAATCACTAGCAGTTTCTGCAGGATATCTCTTACTAATAATAAATTATCTACATATACAAATCCTTGACTAGAACTGGCATGAGGTTCTAATACCTTACCATTTCCCTCCTCATTCTTCGATGTATGTTTTGCTTAACTTTCTTAGCATTTATTTAAATAATAAAAATATATAACTCCAAAGATAATAAATAGAAATAGAAAATAATATTACTTTTCTCGTACATCAGTGTCAAATTAAACTATTTATAAATTAAAAAGACAGTTATCATAAACAAATAATCATGCTATACATACAGGGAATTTGAAAAAAAATACCATGAAATCCCATAGAAATTTAAGGAAGTCCCATAGGACAACCCTTTCCAACATCATTATTAACTTATCCAACTTTATTGAATAAATCAAGATAATTTGATATTCTAATGAATAAAGGTGAACATAAAATAATTAATTTTAGAAGTAAATCCTTCTTTACACACATTGACTCCATGCATGCCTTATTTGGGAGAAATTCCAAGAATGATCTTAGGAGGATAATCATTAGGATTAGTATTCCAATAAAAATATGAGAAAATATTTATAAAAGACCTGTTTGTTTTTTAATTCTTCTTTTAAATCTTCGAATTTGGCATTGTGTTTAGCGAAATTATTAATTCTCTGTTGGTCTTCAAATGTAATGTGGACATCTGTGTCCTGAAACACATATTTAAGTACAAATTAAAAATAGTAAGTTTAGTAAAACTAAACTACTGTCAATAAATAATTACAGGCTGAAAATTAGCTTTAGCGGTCGCAGTCATTTTACTTTTAGAAAACAAAAATCAAACTGAACGTGAGGTTATTTCAAATCATAACCTAATCGCTAATCTGGAAACTTTTTTATAGGCAACAATTAAAAAATAATAATCTAACTTATTTTAGTAACAGCTATTAGGTAAATAGGAATATGAAATTTTATTTTTAATTTAATATGACCAAAACCTTAAAATTCCAATCCATGTACGAATTAACAATTAGGAATTCCATTTTCTCCGTATACATTCAGTATTCTTTGGAATTGTTGATTTTTTATTATTTCTTTAGTAAGAGGGACGTTCTAAACTATTTTTCTTTGTGAATATTTCAGTTTCAATTTCAACAAATTGAACAATTCTCAATTGATATAACAGGCAGTGACAAGATGTTGCGCTTTGTGTAAAATGGTTGACATTTGATAGTGACAGTTGTTGATGTTAGGGAAATAAAAACTATCGGTGTGTTTGTTTTGATTTTACGAGTTATTAAATAAATATTTTGTAAATAGTTGTCATGTAGTGGCGGATACTATTTCCACAAATACCCCCGACTTTGTATAGTGCCCTCGTTATACTTTTGTTTGTACCTAGTGTGTTTATGCCTGTATCAAGATTAGTGAAAACAAAGGACTTGAAGAGATGAATGAAATTGAAGCTCAAGCACATGAGCTTTTACGTCATCGAGAATGGGTAATGGCCTTAGAGCTCTTTGACCAATTAATAAGCCAAGCCATAGCAAAAGGTGTTGCTAAAGAAAGAATAGTTTTATATCTTTTGGGTCGTTCGGAGTGTTTTGTTGAACTAGGAAGGCATGAAGCAGTAGTTTCAGATTGTAGAAAGATCATTAAACTTCTAGATGGAGGTAATAGTGCCAATAGTAATGGAGCTAGAGTTTGGAAAAGGCTTGTACATGCGTTGTTTACACTTCAAAGATTTCATGAAGCTGAAGCAGCAGCTGTTGAGTGGATCGCTGCAAGTGGAGGAATTACTGAAGCTGTAAGATTACTTGAACAAGTTCGTATGGTTTTACAAGTTATTAACAAAAGAGACATGAACAGACAGTTACAATACCCTAGCTGTGGGGAGGAAATGTTTCGGAGTGAATTTCCTCCCGAAGTTTGGAATGGGCACAATTTGGAAGAAATGAAACGGAACCGCAAACATCCAGTAAAGCTCATTGAAAGTAATGAATTGGAACAATCTCAGTTAGCCCAGCTTGCCAGCTTAAGACTAAGCAATCATGAACAGTTTACAGTACATCAAAACATTGGATTAACTTTCGAACAACAATTTAATGAACCTCCTGGTAATATTTCTTTTTCTCTTTGGAATAAAATTTTCACCATATTCATTGTTTTATGATTTTTATTTTATAATTATTGTTATTTAATTAACCTAACTATTTACTGGTGCCCAGGGTGCATTTTGACCTTATTTATAGTTCTTAATTCATTCTGTACATTATGTTTATTTATTATTTTGTTTATTAATTTCTGTTGTTTCTATCCATGTTCTTTTATTTTAATCATGATAGATTTGTTTTTGTCAGATAATCTCATTGTTTAAAATGATTAATATTTTTGGGTAGATCAAATACTTTTTATTTATACAAAATTTTTATAAGATTCATTTGAATTTGTTTTCAAATTCTAAAAAATGCTTTATTCTGATAAAAACATCTATTAATCATTGTGTTTTTGAATTGAGATTTTGCTCGTCCTTGAACTTGAGTCAAGTTCACTAAACCTTTCTAATCATTAAATGTCTCATTTATTTTTGTGTCTTTTTATTTTTTAATTAAAACTAGCTAATTAGCTTATGATATATTGAAGATGATGAAAATGCAATCAAAGCTTTGACTTGAATAAGCTTGAAGCAAAACATAACTTATCTTGTCTCTCAAGTGCTTGTACATAAATATTTATATGAAGCTTAAGGATTTTTTTTTTTTCATTTAATGCTGAATTTGTCCCCTTTTTTATGTATTTGCTCGCTTTAATTAGTATTTTGTGAATATGTCTGTTCTTGATTGATTAGTTTATTCTTAGCTGATTATATCATGTTTATTCAGTGAAATTGTTTTTATAGCATTTATTGGTACTAAATTTCATTATTCCTGGAGGTTACTATTCTCTCAATGTCTACTCTTTATCCTCTACGACTGTTTCTTTTCCACCACTACTCCTTTTAAATATTTAGAGTTATTCACTGTTCAAATTTATTAATTTCTTGATATTACTATAAGTATTATCATCAGATATAAATAATGAGTAACCGCCCACCCTATTAAGTAATGTTTTACAAAAGAGATTAGTTATCTTTTCGTTGATAATGAAGCATGTGTCATAAAGTTTTCATAACAGCATTATCATTTTTGTTTTATTTTAAATATGTTTTCCTAGGCCTTAAAAAAAAAAAATTAATCTGAAGAATTTGCTGTTGAGAAAAATACCTGAGATTAAATTATCATTCATTAAAATAGTTAATGGGAACTTCAGATGGATAGAGTTGATATATCCCATTAATTTATATTTCTTGATGAAGATAAATTATATATTTTTAGATGAAATTCTCATCATGAAATAAATGTATATACTATAAAATTTGTATCTAAAATATTATAAAAGTATCCTGTTATTCACTGAATCAGCTTCTGACTATATAAAGGTCTTATAGTCTGCATTTATTACATGAATATATTGGGGAGGGGGAGAATTTATTCTCATTTCCCTAAATATTGTTTAATTGTTATAGTACAATTAGTAAAATTTAATGACCTATTTGTATATTTTTTTTTTATTTCATAAAGTATATATATATATATATATATATATATATATATATATATATATATATATATATATATATATATATATATATAAATTCTTCTGAATTATTGTGAATTGAAAGATAACTTTTGTTATATTTCTGGTAAAGTTTCTCTTAAAGTCCATTAAAAACCTTTATCTTCATTCCTGATTTTGGCTTATTGATTATATTTTGTTTGTAAAGCTGATCATTAAGACATCATGTGCTTTTTGTTCTGATTTGTATTTGAGAGTAGGGACGAAACAAGTGGTGAGCGAAATAAGCAACTGCCCAGATCCCCAAATTGCAAAGGTGTCCCAAATAGACTAAGAGCTTTTAAAAAATCTTACCTTAAAGATTTTTAAATTGACCGAAATGGCTTAAAAAAAGCTCCTTTGAATAATAAAAAACTTTAAATTTATGGCCACCAACTTGATACTTTTTCTTCTTTTGAAGGGACCTTTGAAATGCTTATAGGTTAGTGACCCCTGTTGTCCATGATTTGATCTGTAGCATACGCAATTTTTAAGAGAATCTCGAAACTATGTCAACAGTTGTTATTTTCTTATGATAAAATTGCAATAAATTATTTGCAAAACTTAAATTAACGCAGTACTCATGATCCCAAATTTCCTTGATAGAAACAAGCAGTGCTCTATTACATCACATATTTCCTTTTCTACTGCCTTTAAAGTTTCACTCTATTCGGCTTCAGAATCTAAAGAATCCCAAATGGGTTTATTTCATATATTTAAAATTTAAGTTTCCATTCAGAATTAAAGCAAAACTAGAAGAAGAAATTATGTTGAACCATAAATAAGACAATTGCTTCGATATTCAATCACATGATTTTAAAACATATAACACACAAAAGAACTACTGACTTCATTATAGTATTCAATATGTTGCTCAAATTTCATTTTCTATTCTTATTTGAATTTTTTTCTGAGAATTTGGGAGCTATATCAGACCTAGAGATGGGCAAATGCTATTCTGAGTTCCGAGTACCAAGAATTTTATTCAAATACTGACCTTTTTTGAGAACCAATAAATTTAGTTATTACTTCATTTGATGTCAAACAATTAACTGAAGTAGTGATTCAATTTGAGTAAAATACTTGGTACTTGGTACTCAAAATAGCATTTGCTCATCTCTGTATCAGACCAAATTGAAGAAAGGTTTTATTCTGATACTGCATTGATAGAGAAAAGGTATACCTGAAAATAGAGCTAAAACCTTTTGGTTGACTATGGTTACAATATAATACGAGGAGCCCTGATGGGTCTTATTAAATAAAGATCTTCAGTAAATATTCAGAAAATTAATTTAATTTTCTAATAAATTGTTTTAAGATTTTGTGGAGCAGGATTTAATAATACAATTTACTATTATTATTTTGATTTTGATCTTATAATCATCTAATGTATTGTTTTATGTGTTATTACTTCATAATACTGTGCATAAAAATGGACAAAACAAAAATTAGAATTTCATTTAGTTTTATTTACCACTCATCCATAAAAACCTATAACTGCATGAACTCTGGTCTATTCACTTTGCGAAAAATGCATTTTTATGTGTTCCAACCTCCTTATGTTAAAAGTAATACATTATTCTTTGAGGACTTTTTCATGTATAGGCTTGTACCTTCATTTATCCTTAGGCCAACTTGTATTGCTGTGTTTTTGAATTCTTGATCAGTCCCGCAAGGACCGACAATTGCTGCTAACAATATCAAAGATGATAGGAATATCATCTAAGTACGCAATTCTTTGTTTTAATTGTTTATATAAGGACTTCCAGGATTGGTCCTTATTGCTCTAACTGCCTGCTACACCAAAGAATTTTCAATGTAGGGTCTTCCTGCTTCAAATCCTGTTTTACATCAAAGCTGTTTGAGATTATACATTGTATCTTCACTTTATGATTTGTAGCTCTTTGTATCATCTAAGACAATAAACTGTTTAGCAATTCTTATTATTCACATTGTTTTCCTCAATTCTTTTCTTTATACATAGCTTAAAATCTATAAAGCATGTTAGAGATCCGCATTATATTCGTATAATTTCTCTAGTATTTGTTTGGTAGAAAAGATGTGTTTTATTTTTTCTGAAGCCACATTGGTTAGCATCACGGCTCTGATGCTTTCTCTCTTTATCCATCTTAGAAGGCCTCAATAGACTGTTGGCAACAGCTCTCTTTTTCTATTGTATACGTTGGATCTCTTTTTCATTAGAGGCTGCATTTAGGTTAGATGATGATAGTAAATTTCCTTATGTTTCTCTGTGATTATTTTTATTTGTTTTAACATAGATATACAAATATTGAAGAAAAATTGGTTGGGGTATTTTCAAGCAAATAACAAAGTAAAAACAAATTAATTATATTTATTTTTATTTGTTATGTTTCAATGCACTTTGAACATAGTTCACTTTTAAAATATATATTTTATGTATTCGTTTTATTCATTTTTGCTTAGTTATTTGTTTGACTGAGCATCCCAATCAACTTTTCTTCAATATATCTACAACAGTCAATTATTAATCCACTTTCATTGATAAACAAACTTTGATTTTAATGATGATATTATAACATATACAGGGTGTCTCACTTCTTAATGACCAAACTCAGGAGGATGATTCTGGGCAAAATTTCCAACAAAAAAGTTCATTTGATGCAAAGGTCGATTCCTAACGGAAAAGGAGCTAAGATCAATTTTTGTTTTTCTTAAGGCAATCGTGGTTGTTATTGAATAAAACGGAGTTTCTCAAAAACTGTTCAAGATAATTAATTTATAAGTACACCATCGTTAAGTAGACAAAATGTTTTTTGAGAAAACCGTGATTAAATTTATTAAGGTCAATGATAAAAGGAACTTTCAGGAGGTCTTATACAGCACAGCCGCTGTATATCTACAGTTGCAGTACCCATTCATAAGAAGTATTGACCTTAAGAAAGACACAAAATTGGTCTTAACTCCTTTTCCGTTCGGAAACAGCCCATGCATCAAATGAACTTTTTTGTTAAAAAATTTTTCTGGAATCAGAACTGAGACACCCTTTATATAATTGAATATTAATCAATACCAGAAATAGTATTTATGGATGCCCCAAAAAAAACTCATGGAGGCTGTATGCCCTATCAGATGCCTCAGAATCCCCATCTGTGCTCTATAGCTAGTGCAGTTCAACTTGTCTCCCTTTTTAAAAATAGTTCCTAAAACTGCCATTTTCCATCCTTCAGGGATAGTTTTCTGCATCCAAATATAATATCACAGGCTTATTTTATTAGTACTTCTCCATTCTTTATTAGCTCAGCAGGTTATCATTCCCTAGACTTTGGTGGCCGAACATTTTTCCACTTTATTATTCTCGAGTCTACCAGTGCCGGTTTAAATCCAGCATGTAATCTTGACTTTCTAACTCTGGTTGGATTAGAAATTGTTGTACCTCTAGCATTGACATTGGAGTTTCCTGTTTAGGTCATTAAATTAATTTTGCCTTAAACTACATTCTTAATCTCACTGTCTCTTTGATCAATCGTTGTCAACTTTTGAATAACCTTTTCTCATGTCTTCTCTACCTTATTATTACTTAAGGGATTTTAATGAAATTAATATTTCAAAATAATTATTTGACAATATCAGACATTTATTATTTCCTCAAATTAATTATATTTGATGTTTTTGTTTCAGCAATGTTAATAAAACCACAGCAAGATAAAGAACCTCCCTTGTCATGCATTTACTGTGGTCTATGTTTCAGGTAATCAATGCACTTTGAATATAGTTCATTTTTAATATATGTATTCTGTAACTAAGTAGTAATAATAATTTAATATCATTCTATAAATTCAGAAATATATGAGGATTTTATATGATTGAGAAAAATAGAGAACTAGTTAACACTCCAAAGGTCGCTACGGATCTTTGAGATCCACTTCACTAAATCAATTTATTGATCAAAAACACCAACAAATTTCTCATTTTACTTGAAGGAAAAGACATAAGATGAGTTTTTAAATATATTTATTTAGTAAACCACGATTACATAATTTTAAAAATCAAAACGAAAACATGTTGACAAAATTGGAAACTTCAACATTAAATTCTGTATACCATTAAATACAAATAAAAAAATTACAGATAATTAGAATAGGATTAAATTGGATACAAAAATAATTAATACAAACACTATCACAACATGAACATCAGCCTATAAAGGACTCCAATTTCTCATCAACGGTCACGTCTGCTCCAAATGAATAAAAAGATTGGCAGTTTCTGACAAACTTCAAATATGCGAGGGACAGGTGCCAGTCGATTTATTTCTTTACATTGTTGGAGTGTTTCTTGGTCGTCAAATATTGGGGATCAAAGTAAAAATCGAAAATTTCATACACTCACAGTTGGATGAAATATTTCAATTCCAAACTTGGAATCTATTGTGCCACTTAAGTCCTACAAATCATCCAGATTTTTTTCCCCACCTTAATGCATTTCTGTAATATATTACAGCCCAATAAAGGCTTTAATTTCAATTATATCAGTTTCCATTGCATCCCTTTCCCGAGAAAAATGTTCACATACTCCGTCAATCCTCAAGTTTTGATACAAAAATTGGACGCAACACAGGTCACCCCACTTCTGGATTGTAAGACTCTAAGAACCAGGAGAATGCTTAGAAGGAGAGTTTTCCTAATCCAAGCGTAAAAACAAATATACCGCTCTATGGTTCTCTCAGATCCGGTGCGAGCTTTGGTTTGTTAAGAATTCGCAGTAAACTCTACAATATCTTATTTAATTAATAAAATTAATGATTTCAAGGAAATAGCTTAAACTTTTTCACCTCCTCTCAATGCTTCACTTCATATTATTTATTTCGACAACGTTTCAAGCCAACATTGCTCATATTCAAGTCGAACTTTTTATATATTAATGTAATCCTCACATTCTTCCAATAATTATTTCGTATATATTTATGAAAAGTCATTCCACAATTTAAAAATAATTTAGGACACATCTCAATCTTTAAAAATTATTTTTATTGACAATATTCATTCAAATGCTGTATAAAAAAGATAGGATGAAAATGTAAAGCATTTGAATGAAAATTGTCAATAAAAATAATTTTTAGGGAATGAAACGTGTTCTAAAGTATTTTTAAATTGTGGAATGACCTTTTATAAATAATTATTGGAATAAGTTGGGAATTAGATTAACATATAAAAAGTTCGACTTGAAAATGGGCAACATTGGCCTGAAACATTGTCAAAATAAATAAAATGAAGTGAAGAATTGAGAGGAGGTGAAAGGATTTAAGTTATTTCCTTGAAATTATTAATTTTATTAATTAATTAAAAATTCTCTTGAGAAATTGAAGATTTAATTTTAAAATATCTTATTTAAATTTCAAACGCTAATCTTGATAGTTAAAATAAATAGTTTGAACTAAATGATTTTCTGAATCTTCAAAAATCATTCAATAAATTATTATTTATTTAATTTGAGAATGATCTTAAGTTGGATCAAGACCTCGGCATATAAAGGTTGAAACATTGAGTACAAAGTTTTGTTTTCTTATCTGAGACCATCAGGCTTTTAAGGAAAGTATATTTTGTTCAACTGCTAAACTTTATTCTTTTATATAATTAATATGAATTTTTTATCATTTTAGATTATTAGTAATTATGATATGATTTAATAATAAAATTTATTTTTATTGTTCTGATTTCATTAATTGTATTTTTTATATGAAATTCACTGTTACATTGCTTTGACGATCACATAATTGATCAATTTTTTTTTTCATTTTCTAATTTATTGTTATTTTTCTGTTTACTTTTCTTTTTTTTTATATATATTGTGGTTGTAAATGATTCAAAGTTTATCAATTTGTGATAGCTGGTGTAACAGTAGACAGTGGTTAATATCTGTTCTTTTCATGAAACAATGATCAAATTGTTCAGAAAATAATTAGTACCTTCTGATTCAAACTGATGTATGATGCAATTCTGTCACATCATACCGTGTGTTTACATTAAATCAGTGAGATATAATACAGAGGGTAGTATGGTGTTTTCCATATTCTTTTTTATATTAAGAAAAATCTACGCTTAAGTTGTAGATCCATTCTGAATTGTAATTTATTGTAGAATTATTCCTCTACAGCAGTAAGTACGATTTTATTATTTTTTTAAAATCTGAAATCCCTAAGGCACCTCAGATAGTAATGTTATTTATTTTTATGGTTGATTATAAGCAATATGGACTTAAAACAGTCCTTTTTTGAAAAGGAAAACATACCAATACTATTTACTATTTGCAATATATACATCGATGGACATATTTATTTATTTTATATACTAATGAACTTCTTAACGGTAATTCTTTCCATAGATGAACTTCCATTAGAATATGTTTTTATCTTAAAATATAGTGTCCGGTCAATCATCAAATTCTTTAAAAAAATGTGATTCATTGCGTTGGGTATGTCAGTGTCATGGTAATTCTCATGAACTGTTAGCTATACCTTTGCATTCCATTCATTGGTAAACTGAAAGAGAATGCTGGCAGCTTCGCAGCTATTTTTTTTCTAGGAACAGTGTTGTATTGGGAGCAGAATCTTTGTAATCCATGCTTGCAAAATATTAGTTTGAGGTTCATCAAATGGATCGTGAATTGATTTTAAATGTTCCTTAGTCTTTTCGAGTAAAATCTGTCTCAACCCTGAAAGAGGAATATTGAGAAGAAGAGATTTCGTCGATGGTAGATCGTCATTTTTTTTTTTTTTTTTTAACATTCACCACATTGAGCATTCTGTCTCAATAGATTTGCAAATTGTTGAAAGACTTATGTTTAATTCTTGAGCCAGACTACTATTGGATTCTTCCCTCTCTAGTCGGCAGCATATATGGAATTTTTCTTCCAAGGAAAAATGTTTTGCTCTTTGATATTCTTTTTACAGTAATAAGCAGAAATATGAATTTAACTCTAACAGCGGGGAGTTACAGTTCATATTGACAAATATTAGATACCTTTTATTATATAAGTTTTATTTTGCATTATATTTTTAGTTAATCCATGTGGCCATGGTCGGTGCAATTAATTAGCTGGCAAGAACTTATTCGTTCAAACCTTGGTACTCTTTAAAACAATATTTATTAATGGCACAGTTGTTGTCTTATGGATAATAATTACACTGTTTATAGTAATAAAGAAACTTAATTACTTATGATAAACTAGATTAATATTAAAATTCTCCGTAGCTCACTTTATTTTATAATAGAGTAAACTGAAAGCTTTATATGTCAAGTATCAACTTTTTCCTCCTCTCAGTTTATGAAAATAAAATAAAAGTTACAAAAATAAATTACTAAAAGTTTATAATTGTGGATTGATGGATGAATGTAGTGAATAATTGAAGAGAAGAATAGTTGGGGTGATCTGTCAAAGAAAAATTGTAAAAATAAATAATTATAATTATTTTTATTTTTGCCGACGTTTCTGCCCAAAGTTCAGTTCTTCATCAGGACTAAGAAAATACCAGATAACAATAGGTATGAGAAACTATAAACATTGAATAATAAAGAATTAGAAAGGTGGAAGATATAGACTAAAAAATGTAGTTAAGATAAACTTGAAGTAAAATAAAGTAAATAGAGTGAACATTAAATTAAAATAAAGTAGATAGAATAATAACAGTAACAGAGAACTAATAAATGAATAATAACGGTAACAAAGTAGGGACTAATCAAAATAAAGTAACTTAAGAAATGAGAAATAAATTAACAACCAAAAGTAGTGGAATGTATAAGATTATAATAAACTTAAGTGTAGGCAAAAACAAAATAAATGGGGTGAGATAGTTGCTAAAATATGATGTGATAGTATGCTAAAAGGAAGTGAGATAATCATAGAAGAAAATGTAAAACAGAGAAAAATAATATGAATTTATGTAAGGAAATAATAAATAGAAATAGAAAATTGTTAAGTCTATCAAAACATACTGGCTACATATTATACAATAAACAGTTAAAAATAATGTAAAAAAAATAAATTATGTGTATATTGATAATGTATCAATATACACATAATTAAGAAGGGGATTTGGAAAAGAAAACTTTTAATTCTTTATTATTCAATGTTTATAGTTTCTCATACCTATTGTTATCTGTTTTTTTCTTAGCCCTGAAGAAGGCTTGAACTTTGGACCGAAATGTCGGCAAAAATAAAAATAAATATAATTATTTATTTTTACTATTTTTTTTTTTTTTTACTGATCACTCCAACCATTCTTCTCTTCTATTATAAGTTAAGTTTTCTAAAATAAAATAAAAAAAAAAGGCTTCCTCTAAAATATATTTGTTATTTAAAAGATTGATTTTTTTTTATTGTAATCATTTTTCTTTCATGTATAATGTATAAATTATACATTTGTAATATTTATGTCCCCAGACATATTGTTCAGGGAAAACTATCATTAAATGGGAAAAAATCAGAGAATTTTACTTTAACTGTTTGTTAGCCACCCTGTAAAAGTTTGAAATATTATAATTATATTATTTTACATTAATTGTTTGGTTACTTTATTTATCTACTGTATTGGATATATAGTTTTTTTCAAGAAAGAGGTTGACCAAAGGTTATTCCAAGTTTAATCAAGTTCAAATTAAATAATTTTTTTTTTTCGTTATCTTGTACATTTTGAGCTGATATGCTTTGCATAACAACCATTCTTCCTATAAAAGAGTAATAATTCATTATACATTAAAATCAATAAGTGAAATTCAAGTTATTATAAGTGGAGTTTTTAACTCTATAATAGCTAATAACACTTTAACAGATTGGAACAGAGGGTTTTCACTCAAGATTTACGTTAACTGTTTAGCACCATAAGTCAAGCGTTTATCATGAATTGTGTAGATATCCCCAACATTTATTTTACCATTAAATTTATATGGTCTACCTATCTACTCTAAAGTGTACATAGCTATATTTATATAGCTATATATTTACAAATTATGTTCTATTTTCAGAAGTCGCTCAGATTTGAAATCGCACTGCATGACGGAGTCTCATCAAAGAGTGATAATGTCTGATGAAGGTCGGGACTGGAAGTGGAGGCCGCCACCAAGGGGACACACTGTAGAGAATTACGCGCTCTGTGAGAATTGGATTGAATTAGTAAGAATTAATTTTTGTTTATTATTTTATAATATATTATAGCTGCCTCTCTCAGCCTTCGCTAGTCTTTAGCAATGTATATTTGATATTCAGGGATTCTTTTTCTATTAATTGTATCCAGATTAGAGCAAGTACCGAGATGAGTGTTAACAACTTTTGGAGTTATCAATATCTGTGAAATAGAGTAATACTTCCCAATGTAAACAAAATATATAAATGTAAAAGAAGGATTGAAAAAATATTCACATAGCCTCCTTTAAATTTTAAATCTTATTCATTAACAATTTTAAATTTTATTTTCCATTAGGGTACATGCAGATACGGAGCTCAGTGCGTGGAAGCGCATGGCCCGGAAGAACTTGTAGAATGGCGAGAAAGATTTGAGTACAGAAGGATGAAACTTCAACGGGCCAGCGAGAAGGAATTGTACGGCAAATCTTATACAGAAGTACTCTTAGAAAGGTAAATTCTTAAATCTTACGAAGCAATCTATTTTTATTTTCAGTGTTTTTTGTATTGCGTACATTAACTTATATTCCATATTATTTGTTGTAAAGTGAAATCAGAATTAGAAAATTAAAGAATATTATGTTCTCTATCAAATTAGTACAGCTTAATAATTTGTTTGAGTGGTATGGTGGAAAATTACCGTCAACAAACTATGAATTTTTCCAAATTTGTCAAAAACTGATATATAATAGAATGTATAAAAAATAAAAAAAATGACTGTTTTTCAACCAAATATTTGTATTATTTTTTCTTTGATATAAAATACAATTAATACTCAAAGTATAGTCCATTGTTATCTACCATCATTAGCCATCTGCTAACCAATTGCTCGATCCAACGCTTGATACCATTCTCTGGGATGGCTGTCCAAGAACTTGTGGACCACAATTTCAACTTCTGCAAAATTATCAAATTTTTTCCTTGAAGAAAATGGGCCATGGATCTAAATAAGTAGTGATACGATGGTGGGAGGTCTGAACTATATGGTGTAGAGGCAGGAGTCCGATATCAGAAGGGTTTTTTAATAAATGTTCACAAATTTCTAACCTCTTGGCTGATTGCTGAGGAGTAAGTTCGTGAGAGACCAGTCTTCTGCTCTTTTTCACCTTCCCCATATAGAGTAGATGGTGACTAACAGAATCTTTCGACACAACACATTCTCTGGCAATTTCGCGAGTACTCGTGGACTGATTTGACTCAACAACTTCCTGCAGAACCTCATCAATATCTATTAATGGTCGCTTGGAGCCCTTCTTCCTTTCCAATGTCATATCTCCACTGCTAAATTTTTCAAACTAATGCCGTGCAGTGTGCTGGTCAAGGACACCTTCCCCTTCATATTTAATAATTCCACATGTTGCTTCAGCGCCTGTGAAATTCTTTTTCCAGTAATGCCTTAAAATGATTAGAATTTCGTAGGACACTGTCTATGTTTATTGTTTAAAACAAATAACTAAACTGAGACTTTTTTGAAGAAGTCGAATGGGATTAAACAAGTTTAAAGGGATCATTATTATTAGGTATTGGTAAGTATTAAAATATTTACAGTCCTTTGAAATCTTGAATTTGATGAAACAATAATTTTTTTTTATACACCCTATTATTTGTATAAATTATCAGTTTTAAAATGTTTTCTAAAAAAATTTAAGCTGTAATTTTAAAAAGATAATAGAACTGATCAATTCTATCTTACTGAAGAGAAGTTGAGGCTGATGTTTTCAGTAAGTATTAATAAATTGTATTTTTATTTAAGTGCAAAGTAAAAATAAATATAGTTTATTTATTTTTACTTTGCACATTCATTGGCATTGACTGAAAACCCACAACCAACTTCTCTTCAAAATATCTTCCACAGGCAATATCCAATATAAGTATCAACTTAAGTTTATAAATAGAATTTATTAAACAATTAAAAATATGCGATTTATGATTATAAAGCTACTGTTAATAAATAATTACTTTATTTATTTTTTGTCATCACATAGAGACCCATGGAGTATTAATTTTGTTTATTTAATTTTTTTCACAGATGGTCACAAACACCTGAGCCAGCTGAGGTGATGAGAGAAAACTTAGAAGGAGTAGAAGACGCGTGTAGTTCAACACTTGGAGCAACGATGTCTTCTAAGGAAAGTCGTCATTCTTGGACCTTCACGCTAACTTGTCAAAAACCTCTTCGTGCTGTTGCTCTCTTACAGGATACTTATAGAAATCACTTCTTTCTCACGTAATGATTTTATTTATTTTAATATATGTAATTTGATCAAATTTTATTTAGTTCAATTAATTTTTTTTAATTACCTGACCAAGCGAAGCGACATGAGGGTTATCTGTTTGTGTTGTTTGCTAAAAGCTATGTTAAAATGTTTTAAGTGAACTATTGGATCGATTTTTAAGTTTAATGGCACAAATTTTTTGGTGAGATCACCTGAATGTTTTGATACAATTTTTCTTATTTTATTATCTTGGAATTTTGTTTAGTATACTTGTGGAGTTTATTAATTAATGAGGCGGTATTATTAAGAAGTATTTCTCTGATTCTTTATCTGTAAATTCTTTTTATGTTGTGTGTGCTGAATTCTTTATTAGAAACTTTCTGTTATCTTTAAATCTTTATCCCTTTATCCTCACCTCTGATGTGACAATCAGCAGATGTATTGTTAATTTTAATATCGACATTATTCACATAGTAGCCAGTAGCACCTCTTCTTGGTTAAACAAAGGAAGTCTCGCTTGCAGCACCTTTTATGTAGTATCCTGGTAGACATGTCAACCATGTCCATGTTCTTCATAAGTCTTCTGTTTTGCCCTTTTAGTTGAATATGAAATTGTGAGTAAAGAGTAAGTATGTGTTAATCAATTGGTTGTCTTAAGACGGCATGCTATGTTTTTTTTTTTGTTTGTCATTTATTTACCAGGAAGTTGCTGCTTCTTCTTCTTATTCAATATTCTCTTCTACCTTTCAATGTCGAAATTTTTGTACAAGGATTTCCATCCGTCTCTGTCAAGGGCTGCTCTTCTGGCCATCCAATTCCTCTGTCTTTAACAATATTCTTGAGGTTATCTTCCCAAGTAATTCTTGGTCTTCCTCTAGGTTGTTTTCCCGCTGGTTTAGTCTCCAATATTTTTTTTTTTTTTTTTTGAATGGACGTCATCCATCCTCATTGCACGACCGAACCATCGAAGCTGCCCTTTCTCTATTATCTGATTGAAGGGTTCAATTTTTAGTGTCTTCTGTATCGTTATATTACGTATCCGGTTTCTCTTGGTCTTTCTCTCTATTTTCTTAAGATACCTCATTTCCATGCTTTGGAGGCGGCTGCTAAGCATGTTGCCTTAGGGCCCAGGATTCGCTTCCATAAGTGAGGATAGAGACGAATGTCGAGCAATAGAGGGCTAGTTTTGTTTCTTTTGTCACTTCTCTCTTACTTAAAAACTTCCTATTGATGGCAGAGAACATCCTTCCTGAAGTGGCATCTCTCATATTTATTTTGTTTCTGATCTTCTCGCTCTCATTGATCGTCACACCCAAATAATTGAACGTAGGAACCTGCTGTATCATCTCCTCATGAATGTGAATCCCAAAATCCTTCTTGCTTCTGGACAATTTCATACTCTTACTATTGGAAATGCTAATGACCATATTTCTTTTTGCTAACTCTTCTATCCAGACATCTAAATTTGCCTGTAACTTTTCTTTACTGTCAGCTATTAGCATAATGTCAAACGTTGAACAGTTGACTGGTTGCAATTTCCAATATCCAAGTGGTGTCTCCATTCCTTAATAACATCATCCACGAGGATGAGAGAATATGAAGCTGTCACATGTCTTAAAATTTTGGATTGAAATTATTGCAGTTTTTGTAAGTGCATCTTTTTGCTGAATCATAAATCTTATTAGGAACTAAATTTATTTTTTATATTATTTACATTTATGTCTTTATCAGTTATTTATTTGAAAAAAATGAAAAGTTGTTTTAAAATAAAATACATCTTATTATTCATTATCTCTAATGAAGAGAAAAAAAAAGATTATTTTTTTTTTCATCTCTGTCTTAATTCTTATCTTAAACTTAAAATTGATATGAAATTTGATACAATCTGATCATACAATTTTTAAAAAAGATTATTGATAACATCTGCAATCTATAACTTGTTTTGCTATAAAAAAGTATTTCAAAAATATAATGAGAAATATTAAAACTTTTTCCAAAATTGTCAGAGTTGTGGTTATCCTTCTGATACAGTAATTTTCAATTCAATGTTTAGAACCATACAAAATTTTGTTTTGAAGTATGCTTGATAATTTATAATTTATTTATATATAAATGAGGTAGTCCTAATAAAATGTTAAACACCTGTCATACGTGCTGAGATCCCCCGTAATATAATTGAGAGAGAGATTTTTTTATTAATTTAATACTAGGATGAAACATATTCTGATAGTAGTTTTGTCGACTCAGCTGTTAACTGATAAGTCTGTTCTCAGCCCTTCTACAATCCAGCAAAGATGATACATTCAGGTGCAACTTAACATCCTTTATTATTGATTTTCAGAAAATTACAATAATAAATATACTTTATAAAGATATTTATAAATTTTATATAATTTATTATATGAGCGTTAATTTTGAATTATTTATTTAAGATTAATTAATGAATTTCATTGAACAAACAAAAGTTTATCTAACAAATACAATATTAAAATAATTTACATAGATGAATAAATTAATTTTTTGTCTACTATGTACCACTAATGGTAAAATATTTGAATTGATGTTCATCATTCTAATAATAACTTTCAATATATGTATACATTTCTGATGTAGATAGCTGAGGGTGTAGAGTTGAGGTTAGGGTCCCAAAGTGCCCAATTTTGGATGTTGTGGGTTTGATTCCCAACTAGGTCAGTTAATATATACTTCTCTGAGGGTCCAAAAAATGAATCTTGATACTTCCAATCTAGGTTGTATGTAGTGGCGACCTCTAGGTAGTTGTCAAAGGCTAGTAAAAAAGGACCACAAAACCCACTTGCCAGGAAAGTTTCCTCCACCAATTCCACTGCTAGTATCAGTGAGGTCGAATTATCTCTGTAGTATATATACTATTGTTAACTGCTTAAGAGGAAGGGAATGATCTACTCACTTCTTCATTATTCCATTGTCAAAGGGTTTAAGTTGGTAACAGCTTCTTCCATTCGCTGATTGGTTGATAGAATTCCTCCTTGTAAATTATATAATTTGGAAGATTATAATGTATATATTAAGCGCTAGTATGTATTTTGATATTTTTTTCAGTTGAAAAAGGATTTTATTGAGAAACATTAGTGTTATGTATCATTGATAACATGTTAAAGTAACAAATGCTAACTTTTTAAAAAAATTTATTGTCAACCCTCCCATTCCAGCAGGACAATACGGGTGTATGCAGTAGTGTGATGTTAAACATTAATGCATAATAACACACTACTGCCATAATATCAGTTTACAAAATTCAAAGCTGTGCAAACTGCTTATTCTACTTTTCCTTATTCCTAAAAAAATTTAAACTGCCCAACTTGGCACATTCATTACTTCAATATATATTCAATTCGATATGTCAATCAAAATATTTTCCATATTTTCTACAACTTCTTCCCATCATTTTGGTAACAAGGCGATACCGTGTCAAAAGAACGAACGATTTTGGTTTGGCGGGGATCCTATTATCAACCATTTTTTCAGCATTTTGCTAAGCTAATCCATGCTGGAACGATTTGAACAAATGGTAATCAAAAACCGCTGTATCTAGTGAAAACACATATAGAAGATGCGACAGAACTTTCCATTTGAACTGCAACAGTGTATCTTTCACAGTTCTTGCAACAATACATTATTAAATTTGTCTAGTTGACATCTGCAATAATAGTTTCGTTCGCTTTTAGCAGTTCGTAATACACAACACCTTCCTGATTCGACCATATGTACAAGACTTTATGACCATGAATATTCTGCTTCAGTGTTAATTTTGATTGCTCTCCTGGATCAACCCAGACTTTTTGCATTTAGGATTATTGTAGTAGACCCATTTTCATTGCGTCACAATATGGCTCAGAAAACTCAACTTTTTTTGTCTGGCAAGCAATGAAACCACAATGTTGAAACGCTTCAAAAGGGCATTTTCAGTAAATTTGTATGACAGCCATATTCTCTCCTTTTGAATATTCCACATCACACGCAAACGTCTGGAAACAATTGATACATCAGCTGCTAAACAGTCTGAAAGTTTTTTGAAAGTTTGAGCTGAGTTTTCGTCCAATAAGTCATTGATTGTCTTCAAATTTTTTTGTCCTCCAGACCTTTTTTTTTTTGGTCATTTGTCATTGACATCAAAATCACCCCTCTTAAATCAGTGAAACCAAAACTGATAATTAGAATATTATGGAGCTGCATCACCATAAGTTTATAAAATTGTCTGATGGTCTTCGGCAGTAGATTTCTTTATTTAAAACAAATAAATGTCGAAAATGCAATTTGGAGTGTTCCATGATAGGAGTCTTTGTACACTGAATAACTTAATAAAACTATATGGAAAACTTTCAAAATGATAACAATAAAATAATACTAAATCGGTAATACCCAAAACCATTATTTATATATAGATACTTTGTATGTTTACCAATAGGTGTAGCAGCTGATCAAAATACATGCAAACACCTATTATTTTTTCATTAATTAGTTTTCCTTTAATTTTTATCGTGTTTCTTATTTATTTATTTTATATTTTTAATTGATATATCTATTTAGTGCTATGTTATTACAATGTTTCAATACCTTTTCAGTAAAATCACAACTTCAAATGACAAAGGCGATAAACTTCTAGACATTGATTTCAAGAGGGAACAAGAATGGACTGAGTCAGAAGAGATTTCTACTGCTGACTTACCGTTGGTTCATCATGTGACCGTAGTCTTTTCAACTGATATATATGGCACTTTTCGCCAGTCGATAGTTTTTGATTTCTTTTCAACTCCGGTACTCGTCAAGCATCTCTGTGTTGATGTTATACCTGTCACTGATGTGGATAAAATGAAAGAACTGAAAAAGGTATATTAAAAGCTTATTTTTATTTATTTTATGAATAATGTCTTATCATTTTTATTATTTTTTTTTTTTTTCAACATTGAATTCAGTATATAAACTTATATATTATTTCTCAAAGATGTTTTTTTGCCAATGATTGAGGTGTCATTTTGATGACTACCATCTCCACCAATTCTGAAAAATAAGCTCATTCCCTTAAAAAAAAACATGATGAAAAGGAAATTTCGTTTACATATTACTCAAAAATTAAACAATTTATGCTCTTGATTGTTAACAATTACTCATTTATTCAAATGCATTCCCCACTGTTCACCAATAAATATTGTTTATAAATTTAAATATTTATAACTATAACTGATTGGCCCGTATGAAAAATTTGCATTTCAATAAGCTTGTATTTTTACTTATATTTGTACGATTTCGATGATTTTTTTTTTTTTTTGTCTTTTGTAGGGAATCTTTTATATAATCATGGGTATTATCAAAAGAAAAGTTTTTTTGAGTTATTGTAATTTTTGAGTTATTCACAAATAAAGTTTCTTTTCTTTCATAACATTTTTGCCTGAATTTTCGGGGTGATTGGACTATTTTGCCCGGCCGAAGGAAAAGGAAACCTTCAAAATTTGTGGCTCAATCTTGGAATTTGATAAAGAATTAATGATGTCATGGCTTTTACCATAAAAAAAAACACCTTTAATAAACAATATAAGCTCCTCCTCTCTCGTTCATAGGTATCTCAAGTCGACAAAATGAAACATGTATTCCATGGCAGCACTACAATTAACATAAGGTTGTGTGGATGCTTTGCCTTGCATTTCTCAAAAATAGTACGGTTTTGTGCTTAAGAATGCAGGAACTATCCAAGTCTTGGGATACACATCAAAATCTTCAAAGCCCGATTTTTCCCCTATCAATCTACAGACTTACCACCGTTCCAGTATTGAAGCCTAGCAAAATGTTTCTATAGACTTTATTTATTTTAGAAAGAAAAGCGGACAGTATGATTTGATCAAGCCCTGTGAAATTCTCAATCCAACGGTACTCCATTTATGGTATTTGATCATGACAGGACCTTATATTTGGTACAAAATCGATTTCAAGCCTTAATGTATTAATATATGTGAGGATAATTAAGGGTTTGCAAACCCAGAGGCTTGATGCCTATATCGCCAACCACTGTCTCCTTCCTCTTATCTGATGATCGCCATCCGAACTCTTCCTCTTCCAGATTAGTCTTAATACAATCCTCCTTTGCTTTGGTCTACCCATCGAACGCTTACCAGTCAGCACAGTGCTTGTTAATCTTTTAGGAATTCTTAGATTGATAAGTCCAACAATTTTATAAGCCCGTTGTATTTGCTGCAATGTAATCTATCTCAATTATATTTACCAGATTAAGTAGTTTTACAACAGATAAATAACAAGCATTTTCTGGTCTCGATCTAGCCTTAGTTTCCTCTTCAATCTAATTAAAATATTTATAAAATAGAATTGGTTAGAGTTGGTATTACGCTTTTCTGTTTCTCTAACCCTTTGTCCTCATGATTATTCATAATTATCATTATGTTATAGAAATATATTGTTTTATTTATTTGATTCTAGGAATTGATATTGTCATCGGGAGAAAGATGGAATAAAGAAAATAGCATCATAGTAACTTACAGTTCGATATCTAGTGATGTTACTCAAGCAGAATCTGAACGAGAAAGTGAACTCTTAGCTGCTTATCCTCCCCCGAGCCCAGTCACATTCACGCTGACCCAAGCTACGGTTTCCGAAAAGAGACCCACTAAGAACAATTACAGGGCCAGGATGCATGAGCTTTTATTTGTCGAAGAAATGGCTCGATACGAATTGGTTAGTACTGTTCTATTTGTCCAATGTTTTAAATTACCTCTGTTGAAGTTATACTCAATTTTTTTTTCCATAGGTCGCTAATTACAATATTCAAGCTAGGCTGCAGATCGCAAAGAATTACTTACTATCGCCAAGTGGAGTGGCTGCTTCTACTGCTAAATATGCGCACAACGGTGAACTCTTTGCCCTATTGAACCTTGGTAAGAATGTCTCTGAAGATACTTCAGCTGGCAGGCTTATTCTCAACAACTGTACCACAGTCCTTATTTCACCTGTGAAATTTAAAAATGGTAAGAATAAGTGATGTATGCTTTTATTTTCTGTTAGAAAATGATATAGCCAATTAATGATTGTTAAGTGTTAGTGTCCGTCTGAGATAAGTTTGCCAGTGGGTAGAGAGGGAGAGGGATGGCAGGAGGCCTCGTGAAGTGGCAAAAAGTTTTCCCATCGATCCCCCACTCTTTTGTCTTCACTCATTCATACATACGTCTACAATTTTTTTTACAAATTGAAATTTCTTACATAATTTTTTTTTTTATTTTACGACATTGGAATTTAGAAGAAAATCTAATATCAAAATACGTGTTCCCCGTATGAGGTGATTGTGGTGAGGAGGGAAAAGGCTGTACGAGTTCCCTTCCCCTACAGGCAAACTTATGTTAGACACACTATACATAGTGGAACAATGTTTGGTTTAGAGGCGTAAACCCTCAAGTCATCAACTCCTGTGTTGTTTTTTAATTATGCAAGTTAGAGAAAAATTAAAAAAAAATAATTATGCATACTTAATGACTACATAAAGATAGGTTAATAAACATGGTCAGTGCTTTAAATAATTTGGATTAACTGCTATAACAGTGACCTGGAAAATGGGAAAAGTCAGAGAGTTCCCAAAACAGGAAGTTGTCAGGGAATAATTGTTAGTCAGGAAATATTTTTAGTATATATTTTTTTTTTTTCAAATTGTAAATAAATATACGTTTATAATGACCTTGAAGGGGTAAACTTCATCGTTATAAACGACAGCAGTCACTATATTCACCCACCTTTGACTGTCAAGCAAGAGAAATGAATAAAATTTAAGCAAAATGTAATTAAAACAGTGTTTTTTTGAAAAGAAAAACATACCAATACTATTTACTATTTATAATATGTACATCTGGGTCAAGATCTAGCTGTCAAGAACGCATTCGTTTGACCCACGGTACTCCTTAAAAATATAAATAAATTTATTAACCAGAAATGTCACTGTTGGTGTCATATTGTCTCCATCATTTTAAAGTAACAATTGTGATGCTGTTTAATGTTGCACATTCGTTACTTTTTAACATGATGCCGACGATAGGGATAATTATCATGCTGTATATTGTAATAAAGAAACTATATTACTAATGAGAAACTATATTAATATTACAATCCTTCTAGCGCACTTTATTTTATAATAGAGAAAATCAGAGCTTTATGTGTCAAGTATCAACTTTTACCTCCTCTCATTTATGAAAATAAAATAAAGGTGATAAAAATAAATTACTAAAAGTTTAGTTTTCTAAAATAAAAATGCTTCCTCTTAAACATTGTATTTGTTATTTAAAAGACTGGTTTTATTTTTACGTTCCTACCTATACTAGGTAAGGAAAAGTAACGTTTCAGAGTTTCAGTTTATGAAAATAAAATAAAGGTGATAAAAATAAATTACTAAAAGTTTAGTTTTCTAAAATAAAAAATGCTTCCTCTTAAACATTGTATTTGTTATTTAAAAGACTGGTTTTATTTTTACTTTCCTACCTATACTAGGTAAGGAAAGTATTGCAATGGAGTCAAATTTCCAATGTGCGGTTTTCGACAGATCTATACGTTTCAGAGCCTCCGAAAAACACATTTTTAGCCATTGGTCTGTCTGTCTGTCTGTGCCAAGATTTTCTCAGGAACTACTGAACCGATTTTGTTGCTTCTTTTTTTTTTTTTTTTTGTAGGGTTTTGATTATTGATGCCTGTGTGAGAAATTCGGTGCTCCACGCGCAATAGCTTGCGCGCAATAACAACAAAACTATATAAAAATCGTTCATTTTGGACAACTAATAATGAAGTTACAGCTATTCAATTTCCAATGTAAGATTACGGGTTCATATCCTGGTGTCAGAAAGGGGTGAATGAGAGAAAAAAGATGAGTAAGTGGAAGTAAGAAACTCTGTTGCCCGCATCACACAATCTTCACTATTTCCTCTACTTTTAACAGAAATTATTGGTGACAATACTAAGCTATACCAAAAGTTTTTGATCAGCAATATTAGAGAGTTATGAAATTTTTACACTGATCTACCTTAAGCTGGTTTACATTGCTTTAATTTATCAAATAAATCGTACTCAGATCTTTTCTTTGATCAATTTGCAGGAATATAAATCTAGTTCAATTCTTTTTTTTTGTTTCTTCATGAACTTATGTATAGATATAAAAACTTTTCTGAAATAGGTAGGAAAGTCGTGTGAGTGGACACACAAGATGTTTTTCACTTGTTATTTTGTAGTCAATTTTCTTTCATGTATAATAAATAAATTTAGTTATTAATTATAAATATAAATTTTTAATATTTGTGTCCCTCGACATATTGGTGAGGGAAAACTATCATTAAATAGGAAATAGTCGGGGAATTTTACTTTAATTGTCTAGTATCCACCCTGTATAATGTTGATAAAAGGGACCGAAGCTTCATTGTCATTGAGAAACATGGACAAATTTGTGGGACAAATATATATGTATGTATGTGAGGGTATTCATCAAAAATATGTTTGATTGAAATAATGGAATTACATGATTGAAATTATGGAGATGGTCATTTTCTAACAAGGTGTGAGTGCAGTATGGCCGATGATGAAGCAGTCCAAGGCGGCTTACTCCCTGAAGCCACTGCGGTAGGATGTTGGCCATAGTATTATTGATTTGTTTTAATTTACTCTTCGGCTTTCGTTTGATATTTCAATTTTGAGAAGTCTACTGAGTTTTGAGAAAGGAAGTTTTGTCCTCATGATACAAGTGCAGTTTTTGTTGTGCTTTCAAATATACTAAATAGATTAATCATATATGAAATAATATAGAATGAAAGTAAATAAATATTAAATAAATTATTTAAATCCTATTAATAAAAACATTAAGATTAATTTTATAGTGGTTCATTTGCCTATTGGTCAGAAATAAATGAATCCAAATTTAGTATTTGATAGATGAAAAAACATTAATTAAACAATATTCCTCAGTTACAGCATTTAAATGTTACTTCTAATACATTTGAATAATATTTAATGTCCATATTTATGGTATCTTATTAATTTTATAAAAAAATTAATCAAAATAAAATATGAGAAAAATAAATTTCTTTGTATTCTTATCAATGGTGTTTATCTAGTCGCAAGAGTAACTGTATGTTCCATTTTCAACTGAAATCTCTCCTTAATGATTCAGTATTTTTTTTTTTTTTTTTTTGTAAATACTCAACTTGTATCAAATGATTATTGAATTGTTTATCATACAAAAGGAACAACAAATGATTATACTTGTATAAATGAAGTTAACTGTATATATAACTGTATTTTGTTTTGTATATAGCATATTTATGGATTATTTCTTTTAGAACATAAAGAAGAACAATTAAATGAAAAAGAGGTAGAAGAGAAAAGAATAGTTTACGAAGCATTAATTGAAGATAAAGGAAAGAATGTTGTATATCTCCGCCTCTCGGCTGCTACTGTTCAAGCACTTAATCTTAAAGTAATAATACCCTCTTTGTAAATGTTATTATATAAATAAATACATAACTATAATTAATAAATTATAATTGTTTACTTTTTATGATTCCAGCCGGAGACCAAAGTTCTTCTCGACGTACAATTCCAGTTAAACAGAGTTCCATATTGCGAATGGCATCAGGCAATTGACAAAATAGCAGACTTTAGAATGATTTTTCCTGACACGTATGTCGAGCCGACGATACCTTGGTCTCCCCAAAGGTATTTATTAATTAATTTATATTAATATCTATATTTTTAATAGTATGAATTTTGATCCAATTGATGATAAAGAAATACTAGTTGGTAGTTGATTGTGTCCACTAGTGAGGTATCATTCAGATACTGGCTCCTTATTTCATATACTTACATTTTTACTTTTACTTATCTTGTATACTTTTACTTATATGTAATATATAGTGAGGAGAAGTATTGTGATCATAAAAATTTTCGAATCTTCAACAGAAATACACATTTGACATATCCTGAATCCAAATAATCCAGTCCTGCAAAATGATCTGTATGTGTTTATGTGAACAGTGAACAGCTTAAAAACAAAAAGTTGTACGAAATTGACATTACGTATTTAAGGTTTAATACCATATGGCTCAGATATGACAGCAACTTTTTCCTTAAAATTGGCTAACCGGAAGTACCACTTTATATCAACGGTGAAACACATTTTTACAATTTTCTCAAAAACGGCTGTAACAATTTTGATTAAACTCGGTGTATCATTCTATAACTAAGCGATCTTTAATATCATTTTGGTCGTATACCCATTGATTTCACTTTACAGGGCTTAAATGCCCAATGTTCAACACGTCTTCCTCTAAAGTACCTTTAATTTAGTTTATTTTAAATAATTAACTATTTCTCATTGTTAGGAGTTATGAAATTGGCTAAATATAACTTTTAAAAGAATTTGATAATTGAATAAAGGAGAAAAAAAGAAAAATGCTTATCCAGGTCGAAAATGAGTCTTCGGAAATAATAGTCAGAAGGTATACATATAATATATCATTGGAAAGCGGATAATTTTAGAAAAAAACAATATTTAATATAGAAAGTAATAAAGTGTGACAAAAAATTATAAATAATAATTTTTGAAAACTTATATTATTTAACGGAAATCACCTGTTTTCAAGGAAATTAAATGAAATTTTCTAACTAAATGTAGACTTTTACAATTTTTTTTTTTCAAATTTTGAAAAAGTATTTAAAATCCACGGAATCAAGACAATGACATTGTTTAAAAAAACTATTTCTTAGTACTTGTGTGAAAGAAGAAGTGAAATATAAAAATATTTCATGGATATGTTTATAACCTTAAATATATTTAATGTAATTTAATAACTCTAGATCTGATATTATATTTAAATAATTAGTTATCTATTGTCCGTTTATTCCGAAAAATTATCATGTAACCTTTTAGAAAATTAAATTAGTGAATATATTTGATGAATTTTCCCTTTGTGATATCCCAACAGTATCCACTTACAATTAGTGTGACAACTTTTGACCTGTCTATGACTGACTGACAATGCAAATCTCGTAATTCCATTTTAATAAACTTTGCAATGAAAAATAACTAATAGTCGTACAATCCATAATCAACTGGTGATATAGTAAATTGGATTTTTGTTATTTTAATGGTATTTATTATTTGTTAGCTGTAAGCTTTAAGCTTTAGCTCGGTTAAAAATTTTTATTGTAGCCCAACATGGCTAGAAAATAATTTCTTTTCAAAGTTGAGCGTTAAGTGAAAGTTGTGTGCACTAGATTTTTTTATCCATGTCTTGTTCAAATTGATGTTTAGTATTACATACTCTGTCAGAGAAGTTGTTGTACATTAATTAATGTCTTTTTGCTATACATTAATTTATTGTTGTTAAAGGAAACAGATGTTTAAGTCAGACCCCTCTCTCTGTTTAAAATAAAGTGATAAAAACGTTTTAACTAATAATATTAAGGAATTTTAAAATGGATTGGTAAATATATATGAGTATTGTTTCTTGGAAACGTCATACGATTATGCTAGAATTGAAAAATAAACTCATCATATATGTGGAATAGTAATTTTATCGCAAAGTTAACACTTGCTGTGGATTACATTGTATGAAAATACCTCATTTACAGGTTAATATTTCTTTAAAAATTTACAAAATAACTTCTAGACAGCTGCGTTAGGTTTACTTTAGGCAACTGTCGCTGATTGGAGTAGAAAAAGTCTATCCTCACCACATCTATAAGGAGAAGGGTGGTGGGGAGTTCTTTCTGGGCTGAAACCCCTCCATTTAATATACTTACATTTTTTGATCTAAGTCTTGTTCAAATTGATGTTTAATATTACATATTCTGTCAGGAAAGTAACCTTACTCTTGTTATACATTAATTTATTGTTGTGACAGGAAACATATGTTTAAATCAGACCCCTCTCTCTGTATAAAATAAAGTGATTAAATCTTTTTAACTAATACTGAGGACCCTCCCCCTCTAATTGGTAAAATATAACCATGTCTTATTAAAGCACTATCTCCAAAAGTATTATTGTTCATGTGATTACATTTAATAGTGCTTCAAGAATCACTTTAACAGAATTTCATATACGTAATTAGTTTATTTTTTATCCAAGGTAATTATCGTTTTATATATAACAGCTGTCGGGCTGAAGCCCTCTCCCTCTCCCTCTCCCAGAAAAAAGTAAATCCTGGATCTGCCATTGTTCCCCTCCACAAACAAGCCTCTGGAATGGGAAGGAATAGGGAACACAGAGCTTTCTTTCCGAAGGCTCGCCCATAAGCGGGAAAATAATGCAAACATCCTTTCCAGAAGGACTGACTGCATCGAAAATGTCAAGTAAATTTAGTTTTTTTAAATTTACTAAAAGCAATAATTTATGGCCAAGAGTAGCTGCTAAGTGAAATAAAAACTGAATTTAACAATAATTGGAACTAGGGCAGTAATTTCTCAATTTGTTATTTTAAGATTTATTGGAGTTATTTATTATTTTAAAACAAAACAAAGAAAAGGTTTTTTTTAAAGTACACATTGAATAAAAGATTTTATAGATAAACAGGTAAAGGGTAACTCAGTGGGTAAGGCACTGACCTCCAAAGCTCTAGATCCGGGCTTTCAAATCCAGCTGATAGCAGGTAATTATTTGTTCTGTTGGATCGATGGGATATTCTGGAGTCGGGAGACCCTCCTGAGACATACCTAGCCTCTATAAAGGGAGTAATCTTAATTAAATTAATTACAGGAAAAAATCTAAAGGTTGAGCGTGATCTTGGCCTAATCAACTCCTTGCACAAAAGTACTGAACCCAACAACCTGTATGGTTTTTTTTTATAAATAAACTTAAAGTCAATATGTAAGGCTTAGTATATGTATATAAATACAGATTATGTATAGTACGTATACATTTTGATCAGGAAGAACTTAACTCAAATTAAGTTCTACTTAAGTTACTTTCTAATAAACGTAATCTTATGTAAATCTGAGGACTGCCTGTAGCTGAAAATTATTAGATGGGTGGTGGGTTTGAGTGATAAAATTTTTAAAGAATTCAAGAAATTATTTTCAGTGTTAGTTCTAATCTATTGTGTCTATGTTTTTTATGTGTGTCTTTGAATATACTGAAGTCTTGTGGTATTTATTTATAATTAATTTTATCCTTAGACAATGGAGTGGATCCGTGGATTCCAAACTCAATCCAAAGCAGAAGGAAGCGGTGATGGCCATTACTACACCTCTGGAAGTGCAACTTCCACCTATATTAATAATTGGTAAAATCAAGATTATTAAGCCAAATGTTTAATTTTTTTTTAAATTAAATTATTTATACATCACTTAATACTTTTTTTGCTTCAATAGGACCCTTCGGGACCGGTAAGACCTACACTCTGGCTCAGGGCATAAAGGAAGTACTGAAACAGCCGGGTTCTAGGGTCTTAGTCTGCACTCATTCCAACTCCGCAGCAGATTTATACATCCGCGAATATCTTCATCCGTATGTCGAAGCAGGTCATGAAGAGGCAAGACCATTGAGGATTTTCTATCATCGAAGATGGGTGGCCACTGTCAACCATATAGTCCAAAAGGTGTGTATTCAAAAACTTAGGTGTGATTATTCTCTATTCAAAAATTTTAATCATAGATTTATTTTTGGTAATACTTTACAATTTATTGGAGTGCCACCAATGGGTAGTTTGTCTTGACTTGTACTTGTCATGTTACTAATTTCATATTTACTTGTATTTTTCATTTGATACAGTTGTAAATTTCAATAAATAAAACACTTCACAATTTTTGCTCCATTTTGATGCATGGGTACAAGATCCTCATGATCGCACGATAAATGGGATTCAAAAAATAGCCAACATATTTTATCTGAAATACTTTTGAATGTTTGTACCTGCAATTTCATCAAATTAAGTAAATCTTATTTTAAAGAATTTTTTTTTTGTATTCACTAAAATCTCCAAAAATAATATGAAATATTGTGCCTGTTATTCCATTATCAACAATGGTTTCCTATTTGAAATGAAAAATGCTTGTACCAGGTGTGTTGTTTAATAATTTTTAATTATTTCTTTTTCAAATAAGTTTAAATTAGGAGAAAGATAAAAAAAATGGTTTACTGAAAATATGCACTATCACCGGTTACACATTTTCACCATCTCTCTCCCCTTCTCTCTCTCTCTGTATGCCCTCTCAAAAAAAAACTAAATATCTATTAAAGCATTCCAATCATCAAGATGTTTTTCATCATCTCTGTAATCATTGAAATGTTTCATGGAGGATCTGTGAGACATTGATGAAAACAAGTGGTAGTCAGATAGAGATAAGCGTGATGAATACTGCAGATAGTGCCGCTTTCATTGTATGTGATGTGGCGTTTTCGTGCTACGAAATTACTTTTCCATTTTTTGCAGCCCATTCTTGTCACTTTTTGATCAATGAATGGCTCAAACTGATCAGTTATTGATGGTAGTGAACTGTGATAACTGTTGCACCTGGTTTCAGAAGCTCATGCTACATGACACCCATACCTAGCCTTGTCTTGTTTCCAAAACAATTCGGTCTTACGGTCAATGTTGATGATTGTCCCGGGTCAACCTATAATATTCTGAGTTTTGTTCCATTTTTCCTATCCAGTCCCAATCCCATTTAAAAAAGTCTTTCTATTATACCAAGAAAGCAAAACTTTTTTTTACCTAAACCTTGTATAAAAAAAATTAAGAGTCAATATTAAGTGCAAGTTTGAATGATCAAGAGTAAAAAATTTAAACTAAATATATTTTCTTATTAAAAAATTAACAAATACAGTAACAACTTTCAGCAAATTCTTGACTGTGTAATATGATTTAATGAGTATTTATACCATAAATGTATGCTTATGGTTGGTGTAAATGATTGTTTCAGTACGCAATGATCGAAACGAATGAGCAAGGAATGAGAGCTTTTAAAATTCCTAAAGTTGAGGATATTTTGAAACATCGGGTAATTGTTGTTACTCTAAGTATCTCAATGCACCTATCTACAATGGGTCTTCGTAAAGGTAATTATCATTATTTATTATGTTTAAAGGTATAGTATTTTTAATATAGATTATTCCTGTGAAATATGTCTCATTTCATTCTACTTTCTTTATTGTTTTTACATTTTTTTTTTTTAAATATTTTTTGAGAGGTTTTTCTTCAACATTAGAATAATTTCAATTACATAAATAATTAAGCATTATTTTATAATTAATTACTACACATTAGTAAAAACTATCTCTATATGATAGACTTTTGGCCCTACATCTTTCATTTTCTGTACTTCTGTTCTTTCTTATAGAAATTTGAACTCAAAGAATAAAAATTTTGAACATGAAAGATAATAGATTGTATGAAACTAATTTTTGTTTTTTACTATAATGTGTATCAAGTAATTAATTAATAGTAAAACAATTTTTAACTTTTATTTCCTCTCCACACTCTTGCCTATATTGGTCAAGTTTAAGAAAACAATACTTGTATTTGGCAATGTTTTTAATGTCGAATATTAAGATGCAATCTTCTCTTAAAAATTGAATGCTTAGATTAATATTCATCTCCCTTTTTTTTTTTTTTTTTTTCTCTTCATGTTTTCATCCATGCCTGTCGTAATCTTGACAATAAGTAGATGTGTTGTTATTAAGAACATTTGTTGTTATTATTGTGTTGTTATTATTCATTTTAGACATGAGGTAGAATAGTACCCAGCAGTATCTCTTCCTGGTCTTGGTTTACTTCCTTAATTTAGGAAAGGAGATCTCCCATCCACCTTCTCTTCAGTCATCTGATGGGCATGTTAGCTGTGACCATAAGTCCGTTGTGATATCCCTGTAGTTTTAGATGAAATTTAGAGAATACATATAATACATATGTAGAGAGTACATATGTGTTAGTCGATATTTAGTTGTCATAAGTTGGTGCGTAAAGGTTTGTTGTTTATGTACCAAGGAGCTGCTGGTAATAATCTTGAAATTTTGGATTGAAATGATTGTAGTTTTTGTATGTACGTCTTTTTTGCAGAACCATAAATTGGTGAGACGTATGTCCATATGGGTTTGAGTATGTAATTGTATATATTTAGTTTTTGTCTAATTTTCAATTTTGTCTTGTAAAAAAGTGAGTATAGTACATTCAAAGTCTTTCGTTTCATTTTGACATGTGGGCTATTCCTCTTAAATTTAAAGTATAAATTTAAATTTATATAATTGATCTAATAATGTAGTAAAGGTTTTGAAAATAATATTAGTGCAATCATTGTTTGAACTTTTATTAATTTGTATTTTTTTTAATACTTCAACCTTTTTCAAGTCAAGATGTCCACATGGATTTAACTTTTTATTATTTTTGTTTAAATTGAATCTAATATTATTAAGTGTAAAAGCTGTAATTTCTTCTATTAGAATCAGCTGATAATACTAAACCAGCTTGGTACTTTGTAGCATTAGAACCAGTTTTAAAAGTTTTAGGATCCTTCGGACAGCTTAGCCTGATAAAAGGTTTAATATCTAGAAACTGGTGTTCAAAGAAATTTCTCTATTTGCAATATTTTAATCATAAAATTTATCATTACTGCAATAAAATAACTGTTTGCTTCTTTCAAGGTGTCTTTCATCATTGTTATACAATATAAATAATAAATCTTTCATTCATTCGTCATTTCTTATATATTATAGCATATTTGAAATTCAAAATGTTATGAAAACATCAATTTGACTTATACATACTTACCATTCATTTGGAATTGAATGAAGTTACCCAGTTATTTACCTAACTCATTTTGGTCAAAAATTGAGTTAGAATTTATTGTGAGAACATTGCAAATTTTTTTATAGTTTTGGAGTTAAATGGCCTGTATTTTTTTAAAAAATTCTTAATTACACGTTATTTAAAATATTTTTCTTTAGGACATTTCACTCATATTCTCCTCGATGAAGCAGCACAAGCGATGGAATGCGAAGCAATAATGCCTTTAGCTCTAGCTAATGAAAGTACACGAATAGTATTAGCTGGCGATCATATGCAGGTAACAAGTTATTCTATTTTATTATTATGATGTTCTATTTGTGAATATGGTATTCCCTGAGACTTACCATATATATTTATTATTAAACTATTGTTTTATTTTAATAGCTTAGCCCTGAGTTGTTCTCGGAATTTGCTAAGGAACGGAACTTGCACATTTCTCTTCTCGAACGTCTTTACGATCATTATCCAACTAATTTCCCTTGTAAAATACTCTTATGTGAAAATTATAGGGCACATGAAGCTATTATTCAGGTATTTATGGTATCTTATTTATTTTATTTATTAATTTAGTATGTACTCTATAATTTTATTACATCTTGGTTTCTCATTTTTTTTTAAAATAAATAATTATGTACAAGATTAATTTATATGTAGTGAACTTCTTCTAATTCTTGAGGCATGGGGAATCTTGAAATATTCTGTATTACAGGATGAATACTAATAAAAACATAAATTAAACAAAAATTGACTGCAAAACATGTTGTTTTTAATTCTTTAAACACTTCAGTTGAACAAAGCAGTACGTATCAATGTGTTAAATATGTAGTTGGGTTGGATAACATGGCATTATTCTTGTCAAATGCCATCTTAAACTTATCTCAAACGTCAATTTATTTATAATTTCTCCATGATTACTATTTTTTTTATTTTTTTTATTATCATTTCTTATAAAGTGGAGGTTCATAATTTCCATCGATGGACTCCATCAAACAATCTGTCAAGGTAAATTGACACCCCTGGGAGATAAAACATAGCTTGTAAAATAGTAAAATATTTTGCCAATATCTATGTTAGGAATTTTTGAGCTTCAAAAAAGAAATATGAAATATAAACATAAAATAATAACATTAATGTTATAATGAGATTACATCCAGCAGATCCATCTAACTAAAAGCCAATGGAACTGTTGAACCATCGGTGATTCCATCAATAAATAAGAAACATTCTGAATTCTATTGACACTTTCCATTAATGAGATTAAGAATGTTCTGTTTGATTTCCTATGCCATCGATGAGCCAGCACTGAGTTTAGGAACTTACTGATATTGATATTAATTTTTCTTAAACAAAAGTGACCAATAGTAAACAGCTCTTTTATGACACACAGTGATTTATAAATTATTATTATAAATTTTACTTACCTGAATAGTCAGTGAGTATATGAATAAAGATATATAATAAAGAATAAGAATTATATTCTCAGACAGTTTACTGTAAAAATTTAGAGTTCATTTTTGTTTAGAATTGATTTCTTAAGATGAGAATTACTTAAAAATAATTTATTTTCTCATTCTTCTTTCAGTTTACCTCAGAACTATTCTATGAGCAGAAATTAGTGAGTAGTGGAAAGCAACCAAGGCACGATCATTTTTATCCTTTAACATTCTTCACGACACGAGGAGAAGATGTTCAAGACCAAAATTCTACTGCATTCTACAATAATTCAGAAGTAAATCCATTTCTAAATAATATTTAATTTAGAAAAATTATTTATATCTTGTATGCTAATATTGTATTTTTTTAATTTCTTTAGGTTTACGAAGTAGTAGAAAGAGTGTGCGAACTGAAAAAGAAGTGGCCCGTGACTTGGGGAAAACTCGATGAACAGTCCATCGGGATAATGACTCCATACTCCGACCAGGTTTTTAGGATAAGATCCGAATTGAGAAAACGAAGGTTGGGCGGCATTTCTGTCGAAAGGGTCCTTAATGTTCAAGGTAAGAAATAATGTTATTATTTTAAGAATTTCAATTTCTTGAGCACTTGAAAAATTAAAGGTTTTACTTTCTTTCATAATTTTTCTAATTGATTATATTATTTAGTAATCTATGTTTCTATTTTGGTATTGATCCTCATTATATCCTATAGTTATATTTAAATTTTGTATTAAGATAGCATTTATTGTGGTCATTCAAAATTGTATCTTAACATGAATCCCATGTTAGAGACACAAAAAGGGGAAAATTTTATGTTCTAAAACCAAATGATAACAAGTTTTGTTGAACATATAGATTAAAATATTTCAGAAACAATATACTAGGACCTGCAAGGGATATACTGTAAGTGAGGGAAATTTTAAGCATTTTATCTCCTCTTCGTAATGAGTTATAAATTAAAATTGTATTGACTTGACACCGAGTTAGAGAGTCGGAAAGGGAAAAGGATAGCTCCAAACCAGATAATAACAACTGTTTTGAACATTTGGACTAATATATCTCAAAATTTAAATATCTTGGACAACTCTGAAACCAATTGGTGGAAGTCAATATAGATTTTTTTTTTAATTAGCCATAAAAATAAGAAATTATATGTTTCTATTCGATTTTCTGTTGCACTCAATAGAGTTTCGACAAATTATTGTTACAGAAGTTGTATTAAACAAATGATGGAGTTTTTGTTAGGTATTAAGCAAATAGATTTCAATCAAAAGTATTCATTGTATATTTTAGTTATCGCAAACCTATTGTATCATTTTTAGAGTATGATACAAATGATGATATGTCAGAGCAAAGTTTACTAAATCAATTTAAACAAAGTTATAACTGTATATATTGTAAATGTTATTATTTTGTGAATCTATAACAAAAAAATTGATGTTTTCTTTTCTCTTCTATCGTGTGGTCTAAAGCACACTCTGTAGTTTTTTGTTTTAAGGTAATTGATATAAAGTGCTCATTTCAGTTATTTGCTAATTTTTAATTTTAGAGTGTAGGGTGGCAATTTCATTAATTTAGTGGTGTCTTGTTCTGAATTTATTATTGAAATATTATGCAACTGTAGGCAATAACAATTTAATGGATGATAACCAAAACAATTCACTAAGAAATTTACAAACCCCTCCCCCTTTCTGTCACAAAATAAAATATATTGATTATTTAAAAAACCAACTTTTTTTTTTAACTCTTATAACTGGTTAAAAGTAGCTTGAATTGTTGATGTTCTAAATGCTTATATAGACTTATTCATTCCATTCAATGCTAAATTTTCTGTTAAATTTGTAAGTATTTTTTGAATATATGGAATATAGTTCTAATAATTTTTATTAATGTAGATCAGTTTTGGAAACCTTTTCTTCGAATATCTGAAGATTTGTAAGAGCTATTGATCTTGATCTGCTCTTGCAATTTTTTACTTAATATTCTTTTTAGGCTTTGTTGTTTCTCTAATATAAAAGAAACAAATAATAGCATTTAATTTTAAATGTACAAAACTCAATCTAAATCAAGTTCCTAACAGTTTATCTTTATTTTTAGGAAAGCAGTTCAGAGCAATCTTTTTGAGTACTGTCCGAACAAGAAGAACTTGTGATTCAAAATCAGGCACTGAAAATGACTATGGATTTCTCTCCAATTCCAAGCTCCTTAATACCGCTATAACTAGAGCCCAAAGTCTGGTCGCAGTCGTTGGGGATCCAGTATCCCTGTGTACAATCGGTCGATGCAGAAAAGTATGGGAGAGATTTATCCAAATATGCAGTGAAAATGGTTCTTTGTACGGAATCAAATGGTCTTACTTGAGATCCCAATTGGACGGAGTCGAATTGAAGAAAATGTACACCCTGAATCCACTAGCTCCAGAATTCGTTCCTAGACAATATCGGGAGCCTAAATACTTTGTGAAGCCGGTGTTGAATGGTTTTCCGCCGCTGTTGAGGTTCCCGCAGCAGCAGCAGCAGCAGCAGCAGCCCTTTCTCCCGGCACCACAGATCATGCCCTATCCAATCCTCTACCCGGCAGTTCCATTCTTCCCGATCAGAACAGTCTATCCTCCTCCCCCTCCTCCAATCGTCTACCCTCCAAATATTGTCATTAAGAACGATACACAAGCAGTTCAGCCATTGGTTGCAGTTCGTCCACCACCGCCTCTTTGCTCACCGAATTTACAGCAACAGTTTGTTCGCCCAGTTATTCAACAGCAAATGCCCGTCGAAAGGAAGCCTGAGAAGAGAGATATTCAATTCCTTCACAACGTACATTTTCCTAATGTGAGTTTTCAATAGGAATCAAACTTTTATTTTTTATAATTTATAAATAGAATAGAATAGAAAAATAACTTTATTATGGGACATAGTTCCGTAAAAAAACTAAGTAGTACAGAAAAAAAAAAATTCTTCTGGTCAGAAAATCTTATGCATTATATAAATATAATGCTTCCCTAACTTCGGTAGTCAGGAAGCAATAGAAAAAAAATGAAATAAAATAAAAACCTTAAACTAGCAACATATAGGTACATAATGAACCAAATGGAATTATAAAGGAAGGAGATAGTCTGGGGTGGCGGTCATAAATAAGCTAAATAGTTTTGCCACTATTTAGCCTATTTATGACCGAAACCCCGGACCATCTCCTTCCTTTATAATGCAACGGTCAACTAATAAATATTCAAATGGAATTATGTACAAAATAATCACTGCTTAGAAAAAAAATATATAAAAAAGGAAAATATAATAAAAATTACATATTATTTCTTTTAAACATAATTTGTTTGCATTATCTAATACATCATTGTTTTTTTGCTTTTTTTATTGTAGAGCATAATTCATTTGCTACCAAAAGATATTCCGTTGGAGGAGCTACTGGAGTCTCAGTCCAAACAGCTGCAGTGGTACAATTATCTTCTGAACACTGTAGGATTTGAAGCCGCCACAAAGTAAGTGATCTCATTATTGCTTTATATATAAAATTTAATAGGTTGTAAGTGATATTCAGCTTACATTTGTTCTTTTTTTTTTTTCATTCTCCCCTTCCTCGTCTTTTAGGCTATATGCAGGCTGGGATTTTCCTGGGCCAGGGATTAATTCCAGAGTTTCAAATCCCTCAGCTCCTGGATGCCGACTCGGGATTATTTTATCATGTCAGCCTTGTGCAGGGCTATGTCTTATTCATTTTCATATTCAGCTTATAAAAAAATGGAAAAATTTATCATAAGTATTTTCATTTGATCACTAGACGTACATTCTGTAGTAAAGAATAACCCTCTACCCTGCCGTTTCAGATATACATCCAAACCTATTCTGATTACAGTAGGAAGCTCGAGATTCATTCTGTATTTCCATCACAAAATGAATTTCAACCCGCCTCGACTACCCAGCCCATATTGGCATTGTGCCAGCTCCTAGGCAGCCATCGTGTGATGGCTGAAAAGACAACAAGGTCCACTTGATGGACTCGTTTTTCCTCTCCTCTCTTCCCTCTCCCCACCACTACCAACTAGAGTTATGAATTATATACATAACTTGGGCAATTTTAAGAGTTTCAATTAGTTTTTAAAACAATTTCTTCACCCTTCTCTAAAGTTCACATTTTACTGGTATGAAAATATTATGTTTCCGGATAATTACAACAATTCTATTCTTTTCAGATTCGCTGAATTTCTGGCACGAGCACCTCGGAAACAAGATCCTGTGGTAGAACTGAATTCCAGCTTCAACGATCTCTACATTCAGAAGCCAGTTCAACCACCGCCGATGAAACGAATTGATCCTGTATTCTCGCAGTCGGTGAGTTTTTCATTTAATTTTTTTTTTTTCTTATAATCCTGTAATCTTTGTTTACTGTAGGGGTCAGAATAAAAGTGGCTTAAGCTATCAGGAAAAAAAGAGATAAGTCCAATGTTGCATTTAACGTTTGTTTTATTTAGAAAGTTAGTAATGGAAGTCTGTCATATATGATTGTAAACCAAAAATATAAAATTTATTGTATTGTGTATATTTGCTCCTGGCTTTCCTGGCTGATATATTAATTTTATTATTTCTTAAAGGCATTTATTTGTTCTTACATTTTATTTTTTTTAATAATTTAGAAAAGCCCATGATCGGGGCTTTATTTTATTACCTTTATTATCTTTCCATTCAGTGTTTAAAAATAGGTACTAGCAAAGCAATTTGTACAAATATTTTGGTCTATTATGTTAATGGAATACTGTAATCGATCAAGGAAAATAATACATAGGATATACTTATTTCCATATTGTTTTGCTATTTCTTCACTAAACAAAATTTTTGGCAAATTATTCGCACGGGCCAACTAGTAAAACATATTTGTTTTATTTTAAAACAAATGAGGAAAAATATTGGCACTGGGACGGTCTTCGAATTACTAAATAAGACTTGATAATGGTTCTAGTTTTAGCCAAAACGTTATCGTTAAAATTATAAAAGATATTATTAATGAAATGGTTATTTACTTCCATGCAGCATGATATTATTGCTTTATAAATTGTATAATTTAAAGGTTTAATTGAGACTAGTTGGTAAGTATTGTTTATGATTATAATATTGCTGATGAATTATGAATTCCTGTTAACAGATTCAAGTGGCTCCTATTCAAGAAGTTTGTATCAGCCGCAGCTGGCTCGAGAAGCCGTCTCTTTTTCCGAACGGTTACGACAGCGAAGTCGTGAGCGAAGAGGTTACCCGCAACGGTAGCCTTCCTCTGTATCAGAGACAGCCTGGAATGTCGAGTACTTATGCTGAAGCCGTCAAATCGAAGCAGGCCGAAGAAGAAGTTAGGACCGAGAAACAGCAGCAGACCCTCTATCAATACTTCTGATAAATATGCATTTCTCTCTCCAGTATTCCCCCTTCCCTCTTCCTAATGCATTATTGTCTCATGTTGGGAATTTTGTTTATATTTATAAATATATAATGGTATAAATATAAAAAAAATATATATACTGTATAGATGATATAAATAGCATGTTGTACATTATTTATCTTTGTACATTTTTGAAATTTATAAATTTTTATTTGTATAGTAATTGTGTTCTGTGGTGTTAAGAGGATATATTTATATTATATGTAATCTACATTGTATAGACATTGAGAGTAGTATTTTATTGTCTTTATTTATATAAATATATATATTGTGATTATTGTAATTAAAAAAACAAAAATAGTTTGATTGATGTGATTTTTATTTTATTCAGAAATAATATTAAAAAAAAATACATAAAAAGATAAAAAAATTATATTAAAAAAGCAAAAAAAAAAAGCATACTTTACCTTTGCTAAATCTGTGTTTCATTTCTTTTTAATCACACCTTTTCAACTGCTTGTCCATCATAACACAATTGTAAAGGGAAGTGGAAATGTGCAATTTATAGGAATTCAACTAAAAGATTTTGGCGAATAATTGTTTGTTACATTTTTGTAAAATCAAGTTTTTGACCTGATAAAATTAAATTTAGATTCCTCTACATGTTCTTAACGTAAACTTATTCAAAAACAAACAAGTGTCATCTTTATATCATTTAAAGTAGCATGGGTCATGATTACCAAAACATTATCAGATTACATTTATTGTTTCGTTTACTATAAATCTAATTAAACGTCCCTTGAAAAAATTTAATCTATAAAAATATACCAATTTTTCATCCTATTCAAAAAATAATTACAGTTACTTTTTATGATTAAAGAAAAAAGTGTAACTTTTTAGGGTACTATCTGTATTAAATTTCAATAATACTTCTTCGATTTTATCAAACTTACTAAAGGATTTAACTCTTAAAAACAGGAGACTATACTAAACCAGATCGAATTATTAAATACTCTATAAAATAAAAGAAATTTTTAAAAAAAATCACAGTCGTAGTGCAATTTGAACACCATGGCCCAAAAAGGGTTAAATTGTTCACAATATATAACTTTCAAATATTGTGAAAGCAAACATGTTACTGTAAATTATTGACACCCTACTTATTGTGTATATATATTATTAAATTTATTAGAAGTGTGTTTGTTAATTGCTTACTGCAGGTTTGTAAGGTAAGTTCAGTATTTTTGCAGAAGTTATTAATTTTTTTTCTCAAAATTAAAAATTAATATTGGATGATTTATGGTTTAGATATCAAGAAACAAATTTGATTCCAAAATAGAAATTATAACATAAGGGAAAAAGTCACATTTTCATGGTATGAAGACGTAATACCTATTGTTAAAAAAAAAACAAGTAGGTACTGCTCACTTCAAGAAATAAATGTGCTATTGAAACATTTCACAAACTATGGGAAACATAATTATCTATTTTTTTTTTCTTTTACTTCTCTTTTTACCAACAGCAGATGGAAAACATATAAAACAAAAGCATAGGGAACAAGCCATTTAAATATTTATGTTTCCCATAGTTTGCAAAATGTGGAAATGCCATTAGATTTCCATAAACTTACTGTTTTACCACTAAATAGAAGTATTTTTGTTAATACTTTTGCATTTAAACAATAAAGAAATATGTTTGTTTGGTTAGCGTTCAATATGTAATTAACCATTATATTTGATCCATACATCCAAATAAAATAAATTTGAGTATTCTAATTGAAATAAAATCACTTTTATTCCAACCAAAAAACTTACAAAGATTTTTAGACTGAATTTACAACACACACCTGAATATTTTTCACAATATGAAATAATTTAAATATTTATAGAAACAAGGTTTGACTGACTTACTAACATTCTTCCACACAAGGAATTTGAATTGTTTCTTACAATTCAAAAATAATTTTAAACCATATATATATATATTCACACAGGCAGTTTCAGGGTTTAAAATAAAAGTACATATACAGGTATTTTAGGTATCTAGCTGTTCCACATTCTTTAAGAAAATTCTTAGAAATGATAACTATCCTGCTGATTGGAGATGTCTTTGGAAAAAAATGGTATAAATGTGAATGAGACCATTGACAAACAAATCACAAATAAAATAAGATATCCTGCCATGGAAATTTTCTTCGGTTGCACATCAGAAAAATTAATATTTTCAAGACTCCAAATTGGGGAGATGCAGTCTTCACCTATGTATACTTAATGAATGCCTGGAACCACCACTCTGAGAAACAAGCAACACACCTCCAACACCAGAATGAGATTGTATACTTTCCTATATTGCTAAAGAACTTGAAGATAATGAAGGCAGAATCAAAAGAAAAATTCCTTTAATGAGAGGCATTAAAATTGACAATACGTATAGTTGTAATTTTTCTTTATATTTAATTATTGTATTCATTATTGTAATTATTCTTGTCATATAATTCTTGTAATCATTACAGAAACCATTGTTGTTATTTATTTTTTTTATTTTAGAGATGGATATATAGTTGATTGTTGAAATTGTGAATTGTAAATGAAAAATGGTCAGAATGTGCAGTAAAAAAATGTATTTATGGTTTTGCCTGTGTTTCAACCCAAGCATGTGGGTCATCATCAGAGCAATGATTTGAAGTCCGGACAAGAACTCTCCACGCTGGACAAGAACTTTCATTTTTAATTTTTGAATTCATTATTGTAATTATTCCTGTAATCATTAGATCATTATTATAATAATTTAATTATTGGTACTGTAATTATTCATGTTATTTAATACTTGTAATTATTATAAAATAAATAAAGAATGTTTTAATAAGTATTACATCTTGTTGAATCAATATGGTGAGATGAGTATTTATACTTAACAAAAAGTAATTTTTGTTCTTTTGCTCACACTTGAGTTGCTCACGCTTCTGTACAGTAATTGCAAGATTTAATGTATTTTGTTTCAAATAAATGTATTTAAAAAAAAAATTAATTATTCTATTTTTCTTCTTTAAATCCTGAAGAATTCCCTAAGCCAAATCCCTTCTTTTCCTTATTAATTTTACTCAGTTAACAAGGATACAATTGTTAATTAGTTATTTAAATTTAGCACACTGACTGAATATGCTGTATTTACTAAAAGAAAATATATCATCGATGTTCTGTAAAATGAATGAATTTATTAAATTTTAGTTTCATATCAACCTACCAATTTGTAAATAGCAAATCGTATCTTCAGATTTTCTCATATAAGAATGGCAAAAACATCAACTTTTCTTGAAAAATGTTATTTTTTTTTATTATACAGAACAAGATTTAAGACGATGTGAAAAATTACTTGAAAAATGAATATTGCAAATAAAAAATATTAGTTAATTTAAGAAATATATAAATGTAATATCAGAAAAGTATGAATTTAATAAATGGTGAAAATAGCACCAAATTGGAAGATTAGTCGTTATTTTTATGATATTTGAACAAATTAAGTATAAATAGGAAGCATTTTTAATTTTTCAAACAATTCTAAAATATTTAGATTGATTCGCAGCATGAATAAACAAGAAAATTTAACTATAGTGTAAGAAATAAATATTATAGGGTAATAAAAGTATTAATTTAACAAATGGTGAAAATAACACCTAATTAGAAGATTTGTCAGTTTCTTCTGATATTTGGATGAAATGAGAAAAAGTAGGAAGCATTTTGAATTTTCAGAACAATTCCAAAATATTTTGATCACTTCCCAGCATGAAAAATAAGTTCTATACTATAAAAAGTATTAAATAGTGAAAATTTGAAGATTTAGGGTGAAATAAGAACAAAAAGGAATTATTTTAAATTTTTCTAACGTATTTTTAAATATAGGAATCAATTTCGAGCATGAATAAACAAGAAAAACAAAAAAAAATGGTCCCAGAACCGTCGGACGTAAGAATTCGGAGTTTAAAATCTTTATTTTGTATTAGGAGCATAGGACACAACAGGAGCTCACTTTCCGAGGCGGTCCTGATACCGATGGTGCTGCTATCTGTTGGCAGAACATAGGAACTACGAATTTTATTCGAATTTCTGGCGAGAAAATCGTCGATTTCTATTAGGATAGTGGGAGGTCGAAGGAGCTCACTTTTCGAACGACCAGGAGTCTTTGTAGTGCTACTATCTAGCGGCAGCTTCTAGAACTACAATTTAATATTGCTTTGTTGGATGGTGCTGGCCTCTTGCGGCAATATTTATAACTACGTTCGAGTTTCGTATTTCTTACATTGGCTCCCTGGATAGTGCTGCTACCTTGTGGCAACCTTTTGAACTATTTTCTAATTTTCGTTCCCTGTATAGTGCTGACCTCTTTTAGCAGTTTTTAAAACTATTAGTTCAGTTAAAGGTCTATTGGATGGTGCTGCTCTCTTTTATTAGGTTTTAAAACTAATATTTAAACGCTTTGTTTGATAGTTCTGCTACCTTCACAAGGTTATCGAAACTATTGTTAAAAATTTGTTTAAAATTGTAAATGGTCACTAAAATTGTTGCTTTTGCCTTGTTATGTTGTTTAAATGTTAATTAATTTATTCTTAACGCAACAGGCCTCTGCAACCTTTCGTAATATGTCAATTAGTTAAAATTGGGTGTAATTAATTTTATGAAATGTTTTCTTTTTGAAGAACATTGTCTAAACTGTTATCTAGCCTAAGTTAGTATCTGATTCTTTCATGTCTTAAGCAATACGTTATTTCATAATGTATTTTCGTTAGAAATTATAGAATTTTGTTTAGTTAATTATTTATCGCTAGTTTCTCATAAGTTCATATAGTGAGTGAACTGAAGTTATTAATGAATCTAGAGGTTTCAACAGTGAACTGTGTTTATAAATGCTGATATGTAATAGTTGTATTGTGTATTTTTAAATATATGCTAAACCATAATAGACGAAAGCAAATAAATATATTTCTCTAAAGTGGATGGAGTGAATGAAGTGGAGTTTTGAATACATCTAGTGACATGGACAGTGAACTGTATTTATAAATATTATGGATATATAGTAATTTTGTTATGTATTGTAATATATACATGTATATATATATATATGGTAAAACGTAACAGAATAATACAAATAAATGTATTTCTGTGAAGAGTTGTTTTTAGTTTACCCTATTCTCTATTCATAATTAAACATTGATGCTCATTTCTGTATATAATTAATAACTACAAATACATATTTTCTGAATGTATATGTATACAAAAATTCAAAGTAAAACTGTTTGATAAATTTTTTTTTTCAACTTTTGAAGGTAAGTTTCTACAATTTTCTATCTATCAAATTGTTCATGTTCATAAGGAATAATTCATTATCAGTTTTCTCTATGTTGATTTTTTGAGCTGTCATTTAAAATCTTTTGATATTTGATATCTTTACATTTTAAAAATTATCTTTTGCTGATTTTTAATACTGTAGAACGATTTTATTATAGTCGATTGACTGGTTTGTATCATGGAACAAATTATCAAGATTCCATCATTATTTTATTGTTAAATACAACTCAATGCAAACTTTTGGATATTCATCAAGGATGAAATTAAATCAGACATGCAAGAAATATATAAATGTATATAGTATAGACAGAAATAAATAACAAAAATATAATATATAAGAACCATAACATGCAAGAATGTAAATAATAATAATAGAGATACATATTATTCTATTTTATTTATATCCACTTAATTTATCATTATTTACTTCTATTACTTTTCTTTTTGAATCAAAGAAAAGAAAATTAGCAAAACAAACTGTCTGAAGTTCAAATCTTATTATTTACTGTGGGAAATTTGGGTTGTAATATATAAAACTTTTACACAAGTTTATTTATTATGTATTTTACAAAATTACAAACAGCATTTAAGAGAAATAAAAATGACCGTTTATATTACACTACATTTTTCTCATTTATAATATACATTTACTAAGTAAAGATTACAAATACATAAAAGTCAATCTTTATTTTATAAAAGTAATACTTTTCCATTACAAACAATAGGTCTTCTACAATAGCAAAACTGGTGAATTAATTCATATTCCTTTATGATATAACAAAATTCATGTTTCTTCTTAATTGTATATTGATCTTCTGTGTTTGTTGAACAAAAGAAAAAAGATCTTACTTGTCGGTTACAATATTCCTGCTTATGATGAAAAATTCCTTAATCATCCAACATACACATTCCATCAAAGAGATCTTGAACATTAAGAAAGTTGATTTTTTTTAACAGTGATGAATATTTTACTTTAAAAATTCTAATAACTAGACAATAATTCCTTAAAATATAGTGAAAACTGTGGATAATTAACTTTATGCTTTTAATTGGAACAATAAAATGGAAAATTGTAGTACCAAAATTATAATTATAACAGTTTATTGAATAAAAATTCTATTTATTAATAATTACTTTATATGTGTTTATTTTTCACTCGATAAATATTATATGAAGTGTAAAATTAATGTAAAAAAATTGAAATAATGAAAAAAACAGTACTATTCTTGCTTTGATGTCTCAGATCATTGTGTATGCTGACGTTACATCTAAAGGTTTATTTTATAGATCACAATTTTTGCTTAAATAGACCTCAGATTGTGATTGTATCATGGTTACAAAATAACACTTATTTCATATAAATAATAACAATTAAATCGTAAATAATAGTGGAAGAATTGTCAATCTTCAGTAATATTATATTTATTAACTAAATACAATTATAATTAAAATTTGTTTTAAACTTAATTTAAAATTGACTTTTTTATTTATTATAATATATAAGAATAAAATTGTAAATTAGATAACTGCACTTTTTTTTTGTAAAACTCTTTTTATATTTCATTGAAAAATCTCTTGGCACACAATTTTTTTAATGTATTTATTATATTTTATTTTAGGTCTTCCTTAAAACATTATTACATTAACATCTGGGTTCATTTATGAGCATAAAGTTATCACCACTCTATTTAGTTAACAAACATCAAAGAACACACTATTAGAATTAATTACTTTTATTAGTTTACCATAATCATTGTTGTAAAATAAAATTTTATTAGCACAAATCTTGTACGCAATGAAGTAAAAAGGATGTCAGATAAAAGTTATTCATAATGTGAGAGTTAAAACTAAAATACAAGTTCTTCTTTGGTTTGATAAAAAGATTTTTTTTTCCATACTTTTATACATTACTATTCTATAAGGTAAATTTCATTAACATAATTAGAAAAGATGTCACGATGAGGAGACATGAAGATCTGTAGCAACCAAGACCTTGATGCTTGATTACATATTTTGTCATGTCTGGATATTTGCAGGTAGAATTTAAAAATCTGAAATTTAAAAATAAATAAATAAAAATAAAGTTAATCATTATAGCTCGTCCACAAGAACATTGCAGACTCAAGTGACATTGAATCGAAACTAACATTCCTCTCCAAATACTGTGAAAATTCAATTATAAAATTTATACTTAGCGCGAAATGAAAACAAACATTTCAATTATAGTTTAATCGTTCATCAGATCAATTAATATGTGGAAAGGGAACATGTTTTCTGTTACATTCTTGTAAACAAGCTATATGATCTCTATTTATTTATTTCATTATGCAATATGAAAAAAATATATAAACAATTTAGTCCAGGTAAACTAGTTATTTAAGTTCTATTTCCTTTTTTAAATATCTTTAAATTTTAAAAAATTAATACGTACCTACTGAAAATTTTTATTATTTTACTATTACTACTATTCAGCACTATGAACCAATTGTTGAGTCATAGACTGCCAGTTTTCTCTTTTGCCTTGAGAAAGCATTTTTTTTTTGTCATCATTTTGAGTGGTATATAAGAACTGGTTGGATTATTGTTTTGGATATACTTTATTTTGAGATCTTGTGTAATGAGGTGTTTTGGAGAAAAAAAATAAGTATGGTTTTCTGAGAGCATCCTTCTCTGGATTTCTTCTTCTAAGCTATTCTTTTGATTAATCCGGGATCCTGAGTAAATGAAGGATTGTACATTTTAAAATTTATACTGTCATATGACTTTCATCATCTTCACTGGTTCATCTTCAGTTGCAGACTCCTCCAATGCCTGAAAAGCTTCCCTCACAGTGTTTAGGGTCTTTCCTGCAAGATTCAAATCTAAAATCTGGACTTTACTGCTAAGAAGTGTTCCTGTTGCTTAAATACATTTATAATGGTTTTGTGAAGCACAAGTTAAATGCTAGAGAGCCTCAGCATCCTGCCATACTTCTATTCCAGTTGTGACAAAGCATAGATTGTCCTCCATTATCATTATTACAAGCTGAACCAATTTGGCTGGTAAATTCATTTTCATGATTGCCTTATATTCTCCTTCTCTGATCAAAATGTCACATTTGATGATTACGTATCTAGTATTCCTTTGCCTTTTCCAACAGAATTCACAGCATAAAACTATGATTTGTAAAACAATTCTTAAAGAAATTGTATCATTTCATATTCTTCACTTCTTCACTATGCTTTGCCTGTTTGTTTGTTGCCTGTTCTGCGTTCTTGAAGCCACATTATTATTTTGTTTCTTAGTACCATCATGTATTTTTTTTTCTTTGTTTGGAGACTCGATTAAGATTGTGATTTTGAACATTTTTAATTAATTAATTAGTTAATATTTTATCAAATCATTACCTGAACAAGAAGGAGACGCCAATTTAGCCTGAGATGCATCATTTGTTTCAATAGATACAAGTGTAAACTGGTTTACAGTCGATTGCAAACTGGGAAGTACAAAATTCCTGGCTTACATAGAAGTCATAGGCAGCTGATCGTTCCACGTTGAAACACCAGACATTGCTCCTCATTGCTAACTCCTCTTGCGTGGTTGGAAATTGGCATTAAATTGACCGTAGTTCTGTACTCTATTACGGTCCTTGTGAAGTCTTCATTTTTTATCTGAAATGTTCAATTATTTTTAAGAAATATGTTTACATGATTATTTAAACTGATTACAATATAGTATTGTAAAAACAAGGCTCGAGCTCCTAGTCGAGTCGTAAAGGCTTGAGCCCTGAAGGCTCAGCTCTAGAGCCTTTGGACCTCGAACCTCCGAGCTCGTAGAGTTGAAGCCTTGATGGATTTATCTTAAAAAAACAAAAATTAAATTATTGTATATTTTTGTAAACAAATATATATTTTTTCTGTTGGTTGTAACAATGTGAATATATTTCCGAAATAATATTTGAATATATTATTTCTCTGTTGATAGTTCCAATGTGAATATATTTTTGAAATATAATGTAAACAAATAGTAGAACCAAAAAACAAAAAAAAAGGATAAATAAAAATAAATAAAATAATTTTTAATAAGTATAATTTTCTATTGAAGTTTTAATTTCTTGATTTTCTCACCATTAATTCCCAAAGAGACAAATATAGAAAATATAAGGTATTTACCCATTTTTTAAATTGGCCATAATAAAGAACATAATTACTATTTACAATTTAAAGATAAATAGAAAGATATTTAAGATAATAAGGTAATAGTACTAACAAAATAAGATACTCATTCTATTACTACTGTCACTATATTTATTCTATTACTATGCACAATGGTATGGCGTGCTACATCTAATCATAAAAGAAAACGATAATCCAGAGCACATGTACATGCTAAATCTAGGAGTTAAATCAGTCCCAAGAAAAAAAAAGAAGAAAGCGTTCTATTTTTCCCTAGGCTTCCTTAATCTTGGTTACAATAGATAAGAAAGAAGAAGTATAATTCCTGCTGCGACTCGTGCCTTTTACTACCAAGCTCTAAAGGCTCGAACCTGGGTGGAGTCGAGAAAGCTGGAGCCTTTCCAACTCAAGCCTTAAGGGCTCCTTAAAGGGTCAATATTATTGAGACCATGTAAGTGCTACATTGTTATTAATTATGTTTACGTCAATCAAACTGGTTGATATCAAATCTTTTTTTTTTTATTGAAGCTCCTTCAATATTGTTGAAACAGTATCAACATAATTGCATGTATAAGGGCTCTGTAGAGCAATATTAAACCATATAAACAGATCTTGAGAAGCTCTGGGCGATACAAAATATCTGGTGTCTCTCTTGGCAAAATGTTTGAGTAGGGTGATACTTTGTTTTCCTTTTCTTTTTTTTTTTTCTTTTTTTTCTTGAGCAGGGTGTTTAACCCTCCTCTTAGAATTTTTTTTAAAGGATGAAATGACAATATGTTTGGGTAGGTGAGTGATACTTTTTTACTTTAATTTTTTTGGGGCGGAGGTAACTCCTCCCTCTGAATTTTTTTTTTGGCAGGGTTACAACCTTGCCTGTTTGTTGTTTAATATGACATTGGAATGTGCTGTTAAAAGCTCAGATGTATAGATTGGAGGCACCTTATGTAACTAATCGGCTCAAATCCTTGGCTTTGCAGATGACTTGGGGATAATGGGAAGAAGCTTGGCATCTATGAAGGAGGCATTTCTCGCTAGATAGGAAGCACCACAAAGAGTGGGTCTAACAATAAATGAGTCAAAAACCAAATATATGAGAGCATTAGATTGGTATATAGAGAGGTTTGCAAGCATTAGATTGGCAGGATTTCCATGTGAAAATCGGTGAAGTTCACGTTTGAGTGTGTGAACGAATTTATTTATTTTGGGCTCTCAAGTGAATTCCGACAATAATATGCAGTAAGAAATTAATAGATAGTTAATAGCTGCAAACAGATGCTATTTTGGTCTCCTGAAACAAAAGTAGATGTCTCTCGAGGATCACTTAGGTGCAGTTTTATAAGATCCTCATTAGGCCTGTTCTGACCTATGTTTCCGAATGTTCGACGATCTCTCGAGCTCAAGAACTAATGCTCATAATATTCAAGAATCAGATCATTAGAAGAATCCTTGGGCCAGTGTTCAGCGATAACTTTAGTGACAAAAAACTAAATCTGAATTAGAAGGAATATATAATAATACAAATATCTACAGATTCATGAAGACTGGAAAGCTTCGTTGGGCAGGCCATGTTGCACAAATGAAGAGTGATGATGTCCCAAACTTTTGTAAGAAAGGATATATAGCAAGAGAAGAGTTAGAAGGCCAAGACTGGTGTGGGCCGATGGAGTGGCAGAGGATGTATGGTCCATCTTAGGAGTAAGAAACTGGAGGACAGTGGAAATGAACCGAGAACACTGGCGGTTGATGTTGCAGGAGGCTGTGACTCACCACTGAGTTGTAGTCCGGAAGAAGAAGGTGGGTAATACTTTTTTAATTAAAATTTTTTTTATGAGAAGGGGGCGAAATCCTTTTCCCCAAAATTTTTTTAAGAATGATATAGTGGCAATATTTTTGGGTAGGTGGGTATTACCCTATTGTATAAATTGTAAAACAATTGAAAAAGCACTTAAATAGACATATATAGAGAAAAACAAGTAAAGTTCAAGCTGCGACTCGAGCCTTTAACAGCTGAGCTCTTAGAGTCTTGGCCGAGTCGGGAAAGCTCAAGCCTTATAGCCTTCTGACTGAGCTCTTTTACAAAACTATTATAATATAATGATGATGACTGTCTTTAATATTGAAATGAAATGATATAGCCTTTATTTATGCAAAGATTAATTCATAATATTGTAATGTACACCTTTGTTAGAAGTAAGTAAAAAGGTTTTAATAAATTAATGTTGAATGGTTAAAAGGCAATCTAATCTAGTTCTACTAGTGTAGGGAAAAGAAAATGGCTGCTCTGTAGTTTCCCAAGAAGGAAAATCCCAAAGAGGAGAGGGACAAAGGTTTTGTTTTGGCAAGCAGTTGTTGGGTGACTGCAGTGAAAAGAGGATAGGAGAAGTGATCCTGGCTCCAGTGGGTAAAACCTAACAATAGTATTACTATTTTGGAAGATGTGTTTGGCAGAACTTAGGAAATGTTTAAAGACAAATGAATTTAGTGCAACAAAGGAAGGAACAGTGTATATAGAAAAAAGGTTAGCTTGCCAATCCATATTTGACTTTATTTTAAAACCAATCAGTGTTTAATTTTAGTATAAATAGTTTAAATAATAATAGTTTGTCTGAGTTGATCTGATTGTCAGTAACCCACACCTGAGATAAATAAATGTATTAATATTCTTATTTCATTATCATTTTGTTTTTATTTAACAACCTCATGTTTATTTTAGAAGTATCACAACTTCTGAGGTTATACTATTATTATTTGTCAAATATAAGGGGGATGTTACAATATATTTAAATAAATATATTCTTTAAGTGTAAAAAAAAATTAATAAACTGATTATTTTTACCTTTTTTTGTTTTTCTTCTTCCTCTGTGCATAGGCCTTCCCTTTCGGGAGTAATAGTCAGCGCTTCCTGGGGCAACTAGCCCTATTGTGATGCGAGTTCCGCCCACTTCTCCTTCTAGACATCCCAGTCTCTTGCAGCTTTAAACCTCTTCAACGCCTCCAACTCATTCTGCCACACCTGCATCTTTCTCTCTTGAGAGTTTGCCAATGACCAAGCTTGGAAGTTACCAGAAGTAACCATTGGATTCATTATGCAACTGTCGAAGACCTACACTTTTACATTTAACAGGTGTTAATAAAGGAATAAAAAAATAAATGCAAGACTTTACATCGATAATGTGAAAAATTTTAAAACACTTCCAAAACTGTTACAACTTATTATTGAAGAAAAGTTGGTTGGCAATTGGAATACATAAAAATAAATTGTATTTATTACCTTTGTAATCACATTTCAGCCTAAGTTTCAGGCCTTCATCAGAGCTAAGCAAAGACCGGGTAACAAATAAATACTGAGAAAATAGTAGGTAATAATAATATGATCTGTTATTTCATAAATACATTAGTTCCTAACTGCAATTTTATATATTCTAACTTTGTTACTTTTATTTTATATTTCCCAGCTTTATTACAGTTACTTAATAACTTCCTAAATTTATAAATCATATATTTCCCATTCTACATATTTATTAATTTAAGTTTAAATACCTCTATATTATTTTATATATTAGTACATATTATTAAGTTTAAATACCGACATATATATATATATATATATATATATATATATATATATATATATATATATATATATATATATATATATATATATATATATATATATATATTATTTATTAAAGTAAAGTTTAAATACTTACATAACATTCATTCATATTTTATTGAAAATATTTTAATATTCCTATATCTATGCTATTTCATTTCTTAGTTACCCTTACTTAGTCAGTGTTTACTTCATTTCTTTGTTACCACTACTGGCTATATAATTTGTGAATCCCTTCACATACCACAAATTTTCCATTCATTAATTATTCATTTTATTTAATTACGATGGAAGTTAGTCAACTGTTCTACATATCATGGATGATAAATAGTCAGGACGCAGTCATTTAAAGGTTTTTTATTGGTGGGGCCAATTATATAACGTGCGCTCACTGCTCTGAAAAAATAGTACGGATAAAATGAAATGAAATGAAAAATAATTTTATTCTGGGACTGAAGTCCCCTTAGAATAACAGTAGAGTTAAAAAAATTTGCACATTAGTCTGGCATGTAGATATCATAGAAATATACACAAAAAATACTTAGAAAATTGTAAATATATATATATAAAGATACTAAGGAAAATACAAATATATAAAAAAAATAACAAGGAAAATATGAATATCTACAAAAAATACTAAGGAAAAACATTGATACATACAATAAATACTAAGACATAAAAAAGTGAATAAATAAAAATAAAATGACTTCTATCAATTAACTGCTGGATACCAACGTAATTATATAACCCAGAGATTTTTACAAGATTGCGGAAGTTTGAATTTGTACTAGGTGCGGAATAGGAGGAATTTGTTTGAAGGAGTTTATGTGCATGGTTTGACGTATGGAGATGGGTAAGTAGTTCCAGAAGGAGGTAGCACGAATGACGAAGGATTTACTGAAGGAAGTGGTTTTATGGGAGGGGCCATATAAATCTATAGGTTGAGAGCAACAATGTTGTTGTTCTGGTGCTGAGAGAGTGAATATATGAGCTTAAAGTAAGGAGTTCTAAAATGTAGGGAGGATATTTGGTTCTGAGGACTTGAAAAAGAAAAACACCAAGGGTGCACCTTGTAATAGTGGATTTCAAGATTTTGCAATTAGCCATTTATATTTGCCAAATTGTACCACAATGGTGAAAAGGATATTGCACATTGGCGATTTATTTTTCTCTTGGGAACTAACAAATAAATAAATATAAATTAAACAATATTTTTTCATAAATGTTTATCAAATATATGACATAGTTTTCCTCAATACTTACTTGTAGAAATACAATTGATTATAGGATCCATTACTAGTGAAACATCCGTGAACACGCTAATAGTGAAAACAGCAGTCTGTATTTTCAGTAAAACATGAAAAATTTTATTTTTACTTATTTATTGAAAATTTTACTCCATTCACCAAGAAAAGAAATTTAACTCCTGTAAAAAGACAAAAAAAGTATTCATATGATTTCGAGTTTTGAGAATTCACAATGGAACATATATACATATTCATAGCAAATAGATATATAAAAGAACATAAAAACTCTTCATTACAGCCCTAAAAAAGCAATGAGGATTTATTTGCCCTTAACAAAGGAGGCTGTATGGTTTTATTCATGAGCCAGCCTGATAAAAGTTAAGACCAAAATCAATAACTACAATAGCTTTTATCTATCATCTCATCTTAGCTTTGATTTAAGAATAATAAGATATTCAATTTCACAACTCTGAAATATTTCAGACTTAGATAGCAAAGATGAGTCCTTTTCTTTTGATAATCTTTGCTTTTATATAATATTCTTTTATATTTATTAAAGTAACAAAAATATATGAAGTGATCTACTGATTTAAAAATTTCAAGCTTAAGTGTAATTGTTCATTCTATATTTAATGCATTTCAGAATTCATGTAGATTAAAGGAATACTAGATCATTTGAGAATAAAATAAAACAGAAAACAATATCTGTCCAAAAGACTAAAACTAAGACATTAATTAAAATCAATCAATATGTACATTATCATCAATAAAAATATATAAACAAAAATGGCCAATGATTTGGTTGGTAACAAATATGGTCTACAAATAAATTACTGAAAATTTAAAATAATCACAAACATATCATAGAATATTTAAAACAGTTCATTCATCTTGAAGAAGAAATTTCTTTAAAAAAAAAATAAATAAAAGAAAGAATTGGATACAAGACTAAAAATGGAATGGCACAAATAATGACTCTTCAAGAAAATCTTTGAAGATAATTTCACTGAAAGAAATTTATTGTATTTACCACACAATCTTACTCGAACAGTGGTGAAAAAAGAACAAATGAAATGAAGAGGGCCAGGAAAAGTGAATGGAGGCTCAAAATTTTTGAACAAATAATAAAAATTGTTGTATCTAAATTTTTAAATTTCATTTGAAAAGAAGATATTATATTTCTCTGTTTTATGTAATATGTTTTAATAAATGCTGTGTGCTTCATTTTATATTGTTTCACTGTAATTTTCCATTTTTCACTTAAAAAATTATATACATTTTTAGGGTCGAACTTCAACATTATTATTTATGTAATTATGTATATATTGTTATCTTTCCATATGTATATTTCACTATCAATTAAATTAAACATTACTAGTCATAGTTGCTACTATAATTGTAAATTATTTCCAATCAATCATCATTCCTTCAGTAAACAAATAATTTCATTAAACTTCTGGTCTAGCGATGGGTAATAACCTTGCACCAGAGCTCTCAAACATTGTCCTCAATAACCCCATCGTCTCAATATTAACCCTATTTTCTAACGATATTATTTTCATTAAAAAATATGTATATGGTCTCTTATTATTCCTCAACCTCCATGCTATTCCAAACATCATTTCTGCATTAAACTCACACCACCCTCTACTCCATTACACCATTGAAATAGAATCCAACAATTCCCTCTTTTTTCTTGATCTCCTCATTGACAGAAATAATGATAGCACCTTATCTACCGATTGGTACACCAAACCAGCTTACTCTGGTCGTTTCCTAAATTATTTTTCTCCAGCACCCTTACCATAAAAAATTTAGTGGAGCTAAAAACCTGATTCACTGCTGTTTAACATTATCTGACTCAAAATTCCTAGACAACTTAACTAGACTATAAAAACTCCTGAAATCAAATGACTTTTCTGACCACATAATAAACAGTCTGATTAAAAATCAATCAAAACCTCACTATCACCAGTCTCCCACTAACTGCTCTCAAATCCCCCACCTTGATTCCCCAATATAGATCCATCCCATATATCCCGGTCCTATCTCCAAAAATCAAAAATTTCCTAATTTCCAAATTTCTACACCTACCCATAATGTTTAAAAATAACTACTATTACTAATAACTACTACTAATCTTCAATACTTTCCTTTACTACAATATACGAGTATATTCCATGAAAGTGAAAATATAAAACCAAGGTGCGTGCTATAGACTTCATGATAGAAGTAAAAACATCAACAAGACGAGAATAATAAAATGAAATACAAATTATAAACAATAAATCGATAGGTCAAAAGTTGTCACACTAATTGTAAGTGTATAATGTTGTGATTTTACAAAGGACAATTTTTTTGGAATAAATCGAAGATGTATGCCTAATTATTTAAATATAATATAAGATCTAGAGTTATTAAACTGCAGTAAATGAACATATTTAAGGATATAAACATATGTTTTAAATATTCATGAAATATTTTTATATATCATTTCTTTTTTCACACAAGTACAATGAAATAGTTTTTTAAACAATGCCATTGTCTTGTTTCCTTGATTTTAAAAACTTTTTTTTCAAACTAAAAAATAATATTAAAATTTTATATTTAGTTAAGAAATTTCATTTAATTTCCTTTGAAACATGTGAATCCTGTTAAACAATATTAGTTTTTACAAATTATTATTTATAAATTTTGGTAACTCTCCATTACCTTCTATGAATTTCTATATTAGATACAGTTTTTTTTTTCCTGAAATTCTCCACTTTCCAAGGATATATTGCATGTATACCTTCTGACAATTATTTCCTAAGATTCATTTTCTAACTCTATGAGAATTTTTCTTTTTTTCTCCTTTATTCAATTATCAATTTCTTTCAAAAGTTATATTTAGCCTTTTTTCATAACTCCTAACGATGAGGGATAGTTAATTATTTAAAATTAACCAAATTAAAGGCTCTATAGAGCAAGAGGTATATGAACATTGAGCATTTAAGCCCTGTAAAATGACATCAATGAGGATAAGACCTAAATGATATTAAAGACCACTTAATTAT